CCTCAGGGTCAGCAGTTCGAAACTACCAGCTGTTCTGTGGGAGAAAGATGAGGCTTTCTGCTCCCGTAAAGATTTACAGCCTTGGAAACCCTGTACAGGATCACTATGAGTCGGAACAGACTCCACAGCACATCACAACAACAACAAAGCATTATTTCTAGGAACTTAACCTTCTCAGTAAAAGAGCCTTGATAGTGCATTGGTTAAGCGCTACTAACTGATAGGTTGATGGTTCAAAACCAACCAAAGGCTACCTGGAAGAAAGACCTGGCATCCTTTCCCTGGATGCTGCTGTTTAGTTGGTTCTGGCTCACAGCGGCCCTGTATAGGGTTTCCAAGGTAAACTTGTGGTTAGCAGTCCGGTGCTTATCCTACAGAGCCACACCAGGACTCCAGACGAAGACTACAGCCTAGAAAACCCCATGGGGCAGCTGTATGCACTCACGTGGGATGGATAAAAGTCAGAATGAACTAATAGTGGCTGCAACCGCCACCTAAACGTCTCATATTACGGAATCTGGCTTATATTCCCTTCTTGTCAATGGTCAGGCCAACCCCCCTGGTCTCCTGGCTCTGCTGGACGAGGAGTGCTGGTTCCCAAAGGCCACCGACAAGTCTTTTGTGGAGAAGGTGGTGCAGGAGCAAGGGAGCCACCCCAAGTTCCAGCGGCCACGGCAACTGCGAGACCATGCAGACTTCAGTGTCCTGCACTACGCTGGCAAGGTAGGAGACTGGGGTCATACTTGGAGCATGTGGGTGGCTGTGGGGAGGGTGCAGAAGTAAATCAAGGCAATGTGGACTCCACTGTGTGCAGACATTGACAATGCAGGACCGGGAGATCTTAATGAGGATTCAGGACTCTGATGAGCTCAAAACACTTTCCTCATAGAAGGGTTATTTGCAATGGGTTTTGAGGCATGGGTAGAAGTTCACCAGTAGACAATGCATGTATTTTATTCATTCATTTGATTATCATGCACAAAGGGCTCCTGTGTGTCCAGCCTTGCTCTGAACAAATCTGGCATGCATGTCAAATGTGGTTTCTTCTCTGACAAACTTCCTTATCTGGGAGGGAGACACATATAGTAAGGGTGACTGGGGCTTTCGCAGGTGCAGTAAAAGGCAGTGTCAGAGCCCAGGGTTTCACAGAGAAGACTAAACTCCCCGTGAATCACAAACTTTCTGTAAAGGGCCCAAATCCAAACCCATCGAGTCAATTCCGACTCTAGGACAGAGTAGAACTGGTTCTTTAGACGAAATCATCATCTTTCTCCCTCAGACAGGCTGGCTGCTTTCACGCTTAACCCACCGTGCCACCAGGGCTCCTTTGTAAACCATCAGGTAGTGCATATTTTGACTCTGTGAACCATAGGTCCTATGCCTCAGCTATTCCAATCTGCCATTTTAGCACAAAAACAACTGCAAATACCACATAAATTCACTGGCTAGGCAGCATTGCAGTAAAACTTCAGTTAGAGAGGTAGCAAGCTGGACTTGAGCCTCAGGGCATAGTTTCCAATCTTGGTATAAATGAAGTGTTAACAGGAGTTAGCAGAAGATGGATAAAGAGTGGGAAAGGCGTTCCAGATGGTGGGAACAGCCTATGCAAAGGCTAGGAGGCAGGAGATCCCATACATTCTGTGTCTAGCTGTCATCTCATTTCCCATGTGCCCCACTGTGCTGGATGATAAGTCAGACCCTCAGGGGATCCCTTGTCTGGTTAGGAAGCTTATATTGAGAATTATGAGGGTGAAGATTGAATATATAGAAACAGCTGGAATAAAAACCCTGAGGTGTGAGATTGAACTTGCATGTTTAAGGGACAGTAAGGAGGCTAGTATGAATGGACCAGAATGAATAAGGAGGAAAGTGGAAGTGGACTAGGTCAAGTAGCTGAACTAGGCCAGACAAGGGTAAAAAAAGAAAGCAGAAACCTCTACCATACTGGTAGAGGGTGCACTTCAAAACTTGGAAACAAGGTGGTGCCAATGTGCTCTGCCCTTGGTGTGCATCTTGGGGATTGAGGAGAGCTAGGAGCCTGAACAAGCTAACCATCCTTCTCTTCCTGACTTCATTCAGGTCGATTACAAGGCCAATGAGTGGCTGATGAAAAACATGGATCCTCTGAATGACAACGTAGCAGCCCTGCTTCACCAAAGCACAGACCGACTGACAGCAGAGATCTGGAAAGATGGTGAGGACTAACTACCCTGGACCCTGTCCTTGGAGTTCTGCATGCTCCTTCTTCCAGCCCACAATGTTGAGCGCCTTTTTTCAGAGGCTGAGTTCTGAACTGCGTTTTCTGCTCAGACCCAAAGCTGATGGAGGTGGGCCAGTCACTCGTAAATAGTGTCTCAGATTAGTTGACTATATACATACATATCTCTGTATTCTCAAGCCAGCATCCTATTCAGTGAAACCCTGTACAGGGCCGCTGTGAGTCAGACCCAACTCAACAGCACTTAACAACAACAGCATCCTATTCAGAAACAATACAAAGATGCCCACTGTCAGCACTGCTGTTAAAACACTGTTTTGGTGATACTAGCCTATGCAATTAGGTAGGAAAAAGAAATAGGTGTTTGAATATTGTAAAAGAAGAGGGAAACTTTTCATTAATTTGTAGATGGCTTATGTTACCTAAAGAAGTTAAGAGGTCCAGTAGCTAAACCATTAATAACAAGAATTTGGAAAGGTGTTTAGTCAGCTTTTATATTTTGCTGTATTTGCTCACCTAGAAAGTGCCCTTTGAGTCCCCAGATCTCAAAGACCATTTAGAACTAATGCAATTTGAGTCCCTTGACTTGAGGATTCCCAAACTGTCATTTTCATGTGATGTAAATCACAGAGCACAGAATTCATCAGAAAATGTTAGAGAAATGGAAACAAAGCCTTTAGAAGAGTATAAACCTAGATGAGGATGCTTTAATAGACAGTAGCATCCCATTTTGATATTTTTGCTTAATAAAGGTTTCTATGATTTTGTAGTAATACTTTTGACTTGCCCTCATACTTCTTGGAGGCATGAGCAAGAAGGCCAGTTGTCTTTGTGATTGAATCCCAAGCCTCATCTACTCCCCCTCTCCCTGCTTACAGGAAGTTTGAGGAATGGCTTTATTAAGCTAATAGAAGCTGCACCTTGGTTTGTCCTGTTTCCAGGTTCCTGGGATATGTATCAGTTTGCCTTAATCTGTTATTAATGCGAGTGGCATAGTTGTAGAATTACTCACCAATGAAATTAGACAAGAGAATGAAATAAGCAAGTTGAGTGGTTCCCAAAATGAGCTCACAGCAAAAGATTATGGGGCTCCCTTGATTTAGTGAGCTGATTTTCAAAAGAGAAATTTTATGTGTATGTCTCATATGATTTTGTTTTATTTCATAATTAATATTTTATTGTGTGTTTGGGGAAAGTTTGCACAGCAGATTAGGTTCCCATTCAACAATTTCTACACAAGTTGTTCAGTGACCTGGGTTACAGTTTTCACACTGCGTGAACAGTTTCATGATTTCCATTCTAGTGGTTTCATTTCCATTCATCTCGTTTCCCTGATCCCTTACCTTCTCATATTGATTTTTAAAGTCATTGTTGGCCATTTGGTTTCACATAGGTGATTTTTTTAAAAAGGAGAACAGTATAGGGAGTCTGCAACTTATAACATATTCAAGTTACAATGAACCACATACCTTACTGTTTTGTTGTTTAGTTTCTGTTGTTGTTGTTAACATCTTAAAGTGTTCTACAGCATATCGTTTGCCAGTGTTAATATGTAATGTTTCCAACCACCAAAGACAAGTAAAGATCAGATTTATAAAGATACTAGTAATAAAAGGCAATAATAATGAAAACCAAAAAGAAAGAGAGAGATTTGACTTACGTCAGAATAGACTGACAGCAATGTTTTTGGAACAGAGCTTTGTCATAAGACAGGGACTCCCTGGACTGTCTAATATCATTTTCACAAGAGGGATTGAAATTTAGTGTTTGTTGTTTAGTAACAGAGTTTGCATCCACCATCAACGCTCAGGGAAGCAGCAGTCAAGAAATTAAATGACATAGTGCATTAGGCAGATCTGCTGCAAAAGACCTTTTGAAAGTGTTCCAGAGTAAAGATGTCAGTTTGAGGACTAAGGTGCACCTGACCCAGTTTTATAAGCATATGAGGCAACTGTTTTCAGTTGCCTCATATGCTTGCAAAAGTTGAGCAATGAATACGGAAGACTGGAAGAGTCATTGCATTTTTTTGGTTTTGTTTAGTTTTTTTGAGTTATTGCATTATTTATTTATTTATTTATTAGTGTTTCATTGTGAATTATATGATAGTTTACATGGGAGAACATTAGTTTTACATTCATTCTATCGTATATCGTATCATTGCCATGGTTAAAATCCTCTCCAAGCATCATCAACCAATCAAAGGGTATACCCTGCAAGCCTGTCCCCTATACTACCCTCCACCCCCGATCATCAGCACACAGCCCCTCTCCCTCTCTGGATCTAAAGTCCCCAGCTGCACCATCGCTCCATGTCATCATCTCTGCCTCCATCTCGGGCATCACTGCTTCTCTGGGTAGGGTCCCACTCTCAGCTCTTTTCCGTTGATGGTCCTAGGGACCTGAGTCATTGCATTTTAATTATGGTGTTGGCAAAGAACATTCAAAGTGTCATGAACTGTTGGATAAACAAGCAGATCTGTCTCGGAAGAAGTACAGCCAGAATTCTCCTTAGAAGCGAGGCCGAAGAGACTTTATCTCTTCTTGTTCTTTGGGCATGTTGTCAGGAAGGACCAGTCCCTGCGGAAGAAGATTATACTTAGTAATACAGTGGACGGTCAGTGAAAATGAGGAAGACTCCCAGTGAGATGGACTGACTTAGCAGCAGCAGTGGTCTCAAACTTAACAACTGTGAGGATGGGCCAGGTCCAGGCAGTGCCTGAAATCGCTGAGTCGAAACCAACTCAGCAATACCTTAGCAATAGCAACCAAAAAGTCAGAATCATCTCCTTCAAACGGACCATCACCCCTGCTTTTTAAATAATCTGTGCCTCGTTCTGGACCTACAGGATTATCCCCAATGACTGCTTGCGGACCCCATCCCATGTTGCTAGTTCTTAGAGGATTAGAAGAAGTTACAAAGCTCCTTCAGCCCAGGGCTCAGAACTAACACAGTGTCACTTCCCCCAGAATCCTCTTGGGCAAAGTAAATCCCAATGCCAGCCCCAGTTCAAGGAGGTGTGAGTCCCTGGCTAAACCTGGAAGCTGGGAGAGGTGGAGAGTTGGGCCATTTTTACATGAGTGTCTCCCACAGCTTCCCCAAGTCTGGGCTTGGAAGCCCAGGAGAGAAAACACAGAAAAGGCAAAAGCAGCGGGCTGGGTGAGAGCATCAAGTCTTGAGCTTCCTGGCAGCCAGGGCCAAAAGGGACACCTATTAAAAGATGTGGAGTCCTGGTGTGGTGCTGTAGGATAATGCCCTGGATTGCAAGGTCAGTTTGAACTGCAAGGTTGGTGGTTCAAATTCACCAGCCGCTTCGCAGAAACTCTATGAGTCAGAATCAACTTAACAGCACCTAACAACAACATTATAAGGAGTGTGGTGACACTGTAGGATAAGCACTGGACTGTGAACTACAAGGTAGGCGGTTTAAGCCCACCAGTAGGAGAAAGATGAGGCCTTCGGCTCCCACAAACATGTACAGCTTTGGAAACTCTGTATAGGGTCCCTTAGAGTCAGAACTGACTTGATGGCAATTAGCAACAATAATTATAAAGAGGGAAAAGGCACAGTGGTGGCTCAGTAGTTAAGCGCTCAGCTATTAACCAAAAGGTTGGTGGTACGAACCCAGCAGCCAGCCTGCACACGAAAGACGTGGCTGTCTGTTTCCATAAACCTTACAGCCTTGGAAACCCCACGGGGCAGTTCTACCCTGTCCTGTAGGGTTGGAATGGACCAACAGCAGACAGGTTTTTTGTTTGTTTGTTTTTAATATAAGAATACAGACCGAGGCTCTGGGAAGAGAGAGAGTTATTTTTTTCCCTATTGTGGCGCTGTAGGCTAAGCACTGGATTGCTAATCACAAAATCAGTGGTTCAAACCCACCAGCCACTCTTTGGAAACCCCATACAGGGTTGCTATGGGTTGAAAGTGACTTAACAGCACTTAACAACAACAACAAACACATCCTCACAAGGAACCTTGGTCCTCTCAGTCAACGTGATGCCAGGCAGTGGGTAGATTAGAAGGTGAACAGGACAAGGTCCTTGGCTTTAAAAGTTCTGACTGGAAATAGGGAGATGTGCACCACGTCTGTAGAAATTGTTCACAGGAACTAGAAAAAGCATTCTCAGGGCTTCCTCCTGCTCTGTCCTGTGCTGTCAAATAACATTCCTTTCTTCTTTTTTGTTTCCTGCCACTGTCTTCCTTTCCTCTCCTCTCATGCCGCCCCTCCACTCATCTCTCCCCATTCACCGCTCTTCTTCCCCCTCCCCTCTCCTGCCCCTAGAACACGGGGGCTTCCAGCAGTTCTCCTTCCTGGGTTCCTTCTCGCCATCGCCTTCCGGATCTGCAGAGAGGCACAGCTCTGCCGTTTCCTCATCAGGGGGTGGGTGTCTCTGTGCATCGAAGGGTGAGGCTCACTGGACAAGGAGGGTGGGTGGGCCTGCTGGATGGGGAAGCTGCTGTTGTACACATCTGCCCTCTCTCCCCGCTTCTCCTCTTCCTCAGCAGCTCCCAGGCTCTGTAACGGCAGGACAGTGTCAATAACAAAATGCCATGTGAGAATCGAGATAGCTGGGATCCCAGCAGCTAGTACGGTTACCAAGCTTTCTGTGGCACTGTGCTGTAGGATAAACACTGGACAGTTAATCTCCAAGTCAGCAGTTCAAACCCACTAGCTGCTCTCAGAAACCCTGTACCAGCATTGCTATGAGTCAGAACCGACTTGACGGCACGTGGTAACATTCACTGTGGAGGAGCCCTGGTGGTGCAGTGGGTAAGCGCTTAGCTCTAACAGAAAGGTTGGCGTTTCAAACCCACCAGCCACTGCTTGGGAGAAAGAGCTGGTGATATGCTCTGTAAAGTGGCGCTCTGGGAGAGTTCTGCTCTGTCCCATGGGGCTGCCGTGAGCCAGAATCGACACGTCAACATTGAGTTTAGTTTTTGACCGGGTTTAACATAGGAGCCTTAGTGGTGCAGTGGTTAAGCACTCAGCTGCTGACCACACAGTTGGCGGTTCGAACCCACCAGCCACTCTGCAGGAGAGAGATGTGGCAGTCTGCTTCCGTAGAACTTTACAGTCTTGAAATTCCTTCTTAGGCTTTACTTTGTAGGGTCTGTGAGTTGTAAATGATTCAGCAGGAATGGGTTTTGGCTTGGATTTACTGGGTACAACCTGTTCATAGTTTTTGGCACTCAGACTCTTCAGAATGACCCACAGGGGGAGCTCTGAGTACTAGTGGGGATCTGTGAGAGCAGGAACTCGGCAGGTGGTTCGCACACGTTTTCCACCTTTGACCGAATGCAGTCTTACTGCTTTTCTGTCCGCTCTATGAGGGAAAGACATTTGAGTTTTTCTACTACCTTGCACAGGTTTTACTGAATTATCCCCATTATACATATGAAGATACTGAGGCACAGAGAGATTAAATAACTTGTCCAAGGTCACACAAGTAGAAGAACCCGGATTTGAACCCAGGACAGCAGGTCCCATAGTCCCAACTCTTACCTGTGTTATGAGAACGTGATAAATTATCATTATCATGTTGGTTGTTGTTGGTAAGTGCCATCGAGTCAATTCTGACCCGTAGCGACCCTGTATTACCAAGGAGCAGCTGGTGAGCTTGAATCACTGACCTTGCAGTTCAAATGGCTTTGCAGTCTGACGCATTAACCCACAGCGCCACACCAGGACTCCGATTATGTTGGTGGTCACTAGGAATGTGGGCAACATAAATTTTGACTGAACCTGGTGTGGTACTCTAGAATAAGCACTGGACCGCTGACCACAAGGTTGACCGGTTCAAACCCACCAGCCACTCCTTGGAAACCCTTTACAGGGTTGCTATGAGTCGGAACATCTTAACAACAACAACCATATACCAAGCCCTAGTGTGAATTATTTTGTGGACTCCTGATGACCGTCAGGTGGGCTGGGGATTACACAATATCAACCATACATTCCTGAAAAACCTGGCATGATCCAACACATGTGCAATTGGAGACCCAGGTATAAGGCAGGTGTATTCTCCAGCTGAAGTGATGTTACCAAGTGGCCCAAAAGAAACCATTATGACTCCCACACCTCCCTCAGCCTCCACCTCCCACCCCCGCTAAAAACAAAGTCACTGTGTTATCAAGTTGATTCCGGCACATAGTGACCTGTGTAGGTTCCTGAGGCTGTCAATCTTTCTCCTGCAGTGTGGCTGGTGGATTTGAACCACCAATGTCATGGTTAGCAGCAGTTCAGTGCTTATCTACAGTGCCATCAGTCACCTATAAATCAGGTTAGGATTCCCTGAAAGCATTAAGTAAGTGCTTGACTCCTAGACAAAAGGTTGGCAGTTCAAACCCACCCAGAGGTGCCCTGGAAGAAAAGCTTGGCCCTTTTCTTTTCAAAGGGCACAGCCTTGAAAACCCTGTGGGGCTGAGTTCTAACTCTGTCATCCTGAGTGAGACTCAACCCAGCAGCCATGCCCCAGGAGAAAGATGAGGCTCTCTGTTCCTGTAAAGGTTTACAGCCTCAGAAACCTTAAAGGGCATCTCTGTCCACAGCATTGGGTTTAGGAGTAGCTTTTTGTTTGCCCATGCCCTAGTGTGGCACTGTGGGTTAAATTGCTAGACTACAAGATCTGTTTGAACTGCAAGGTTAGCGGGTTCAAGCTCACCAGCCATTCCTTGGACATCCTGTACAGGGTCACTATATGAACAAGCTGACACTTAACAACAATTTCACATAAGGTTTTTTCTCATTTCCTCCTCTCTGTGGCTCAGTTTCTGCGTATGTAAAATGGGGGTGATTCTTAGAGAGTTGGAGAGGGGATTAAATAGGCTGATATATGTAAAGTACTGTGTGCTACATCTGGCTCAGAATTCCTGCTAGGTAAGTATTTGCTATTGTTGTCCTAATTCATTGGTAAGAAAAACAGAAATCATGTCTTTAAGGAGAAGACATAGATGATCAGAGAAACCAAACTGCCTAGGTTCCAAGCCTAGATCTTCAGTTTCTAAGCTGTGTGTCTTTGGGTACATCCCTTCACCTCTCTGAGCCTCAGTTCATGGGGAAAATTCCATTATCTCTTCATTTCACTGTTCTATGAACTCTTTGTAACCCCCTCCTATATCTTAGACTCCTATTCCTCAGTTACCCACCAACTCATTAGCCAACATTTCACATTTACAACATGGTAAAAAAAAAAAAATCTAGTATGTGATATTCTTGTATAGTAACTGCGTACCTCTGGCATTACCCAGCACCAAGCTGTGAAGTGAGAGTGAACCTGGCTCATGATTCTCACTGGTTTGGCAATTGTGTGATAATGTAATTTGGCAGTTACATAACATTATAGAATTTGGCAGTTATATAACAAAGGAGTCATTTTCCAGTTTGTGGTCTCGCACGACTGTCCCTCCCCATTTTTGCATAATGTTGATTTTCACATAATGACCTGGCCTTTGGAACCTAATCATGCTATATTGATTACATAAAGAGTGTGGGTGTACCAGGGGGCTTCAGAAAGTTTTGTGGATCACATTGTCTCTGATTTCCCTCGCCCGTATGATCTATGTATGTCTTTCCTTGTGTTTACTTTTGTTTAAGACTTAATAAAGAATCCTGGACTGTGAACCACAAGGTCAGCAGTTCAAACCCACCAGCTGCTCCTCAGAAACCCTACACAGGGTTGCTATGATTCAGAACCAACTCAACAGCACTAAACAACATTAAAAAAAAAAAAAAGTTTGCAGAAAAATTCCATTGTCTGTGTATTCCAGTTTTGTATGAAATTTTTGGAAGCTCTTCACAGAAATCTATCCCCACCACCCCATCAGACTAACCCCTGACACCTTTCTGTCTCTCTCTGCATCTGTTTGTACTCAACAGTGGAGGGCATTGTGGGGCTGGAGCAAGTAAGCAGCCTCGGGGATGGCCCACCGAGTGGCCGTCCCCGCCGGGGAATGTTCCGGACAGTGGGACAGCTCTACAAAGAATCCCTGAGCCGTCTCATGGCCACACTCAGCAATACCAACCCCAGCTTCGTCCGCTGCATCGTCCCCAACCACGAGAAGAGGGTGAGTGACCCACTGGGGGCGAGGCGGGTGGGTCTCTCTGGCAGTGAGGAAGGGCCTGGGGGCTGGACTTGGCTGGAGCTACTTCCGGTTCTGTGTCCCCTCATGTGACCATCTGAACAGGTCATTTCCCTCCCAGGCTCCTCTTCTGTGAAAGTTCCTTCATTCGTTTGACTTAACATATTTTTGTTCACACGTCACTTTCCCTCTGAGTCCTTTCCCTGAGGGTTGCTCTTTTCCTCCTGAAACAAAACCGTCTGAGATCCTAAGGACAAAGTTCAGAAGGGTTAGGGAAGAAGGAGGACTGGATGAGCGGGATGAAGGATGTTACACTGTGAGGATTTGCAATCAATGAGATGAAACAAAATGTCGGAATGGTTGAATGGGAAATTGACATCTGCTGTCAGCCTTCACCCAGTTCTTAACAAAAAGTTACAGCAAAACCACACAAAAGATACATCACTATTGATTGGATTCTGACTCATAAAGCTCCTGTAGAACAGAGTATAACTGCCCCCAAAAGGGTTCCCAAGGCTGTAAATCTTTACAGAAGTGCAGAGCAACTGTTGGATCAAACCACTGACCTTTAGGTTAGCAGCTGAGAGTTTTAACCACCTCGTCACCAGAGCTCCTTGGCTTTTTGCCTTGTGGTGGTCCTTTTGGGTACTGTCAAGCTGATTCTGACTCAGAGCCCCCCAGTGTGCCTTTTAGGGTTTTATCTGACATTTGTTAGTGACTTTGCACTGAACTGCTGACTTTATGGTTGGCAGGTCTAATGTATCCAGTGCAGCAGTGTCTGGCTATATCTGCTTCTATAAAGATCACAGCCAAGCAAACCCTACACTGCAGCCCACTTGATAACAGTGGTTGAGATTTTATTTTCTACCTTGTTTGAAGTCTGTGTTGTTGTTCTTGCTAAATGCCATGGAGTTGTTTCCAACTCACAGCGACCTGGTATAGGATTTCCGAGGAGCGGCTAGTGGATTTGAATCTTGCAGTTGAAACCAACATTGCAATCAAGTGCTTATCCTATAGCACCACAGATGGTGTGATTTACATGCTCGACTGCTAACCCAAAAGCTGAAGGTGTGAGTGTACCCAGAAGTCCCTCCGAAGAAAGGACTGGCAGTCTACTTTAGAAAACACAGCGCTTAGAGACCCTTGGAGCAGAGTTCTACTCTGACATTCACGGGGTCACCATAAGTCAGACAGACAATGACAATTGGTTTCTTTACTTCATTTATGATCAATTCCCCACCCCGACTCCCAACTCTACCCCACCCCACTCCGATTCTAATTTTCTGCCTGGCATGTTCACGATGTTCTCCCCAGTACCTGGAAGTGTGCCTGGTACATAGTAGGTGCTCAGAAAATGGCAGGTGGAGTTGTAGATAATCACCTGGCTGCAGGCATGTTGTAAACTGTATAGACGACCATCCCAGTGGCTCCCCCTGAAGGTTGTGGCTGCCACTGACTCTGCATGTCCCTGCTTCCCTCTCTACAGGCTGGAAAACTCGAGCCCCGGCTGGTACTGGACCAACTCCGTTGTAATGGTGTCCTGGAAGGCATTCGAATCTGCCGGCAGGGTTTCCCCAACCGCATCCTGTTCCAGGAGTTCCGGCAGCGGTGAGCAGTCCCGGGGCCTCGATGGATAGGGTGGGGTGGGCCTGGGTTTAGAAACTACCACAGACACCGTGTTCAAATCCCACGTCCGCTCTGGGAGGCTTGGAGCAAGCCACTGCCACACCATTGAGCTGCGGTTCCCCATTGAGCTCTGTCATGGACAGTTCCTAGGGCTCCTGTGACCAAGCACACAGACTAAGTGGCTTACAGTGACAGAAACTCATTGTCACTTCTGGGTGCTGTCGCTGGATGCCATCGAGTGGGTTCCGACTTACAGTGATCCCCGTATGACGGGATCGAACCGTCCACTAGGGTTTTCTAGGCTGTAATCTTTACAGATACTTGCAGTGTTGATTGTTGAAAGTACCAGGGACTGCCCAAATAAACAAGCACATCATGATGGAAGAAGTGCAGCCAGAATGCCTCTTAGAAGCTGGGATGGTGAGAGTTCATCTCTCGTACTTTGGACATGTTATCAGGAGGGACTGGTCCCTGGAGAAGGGCATCGCACCTGGTAAAGTGGAGGGTCAACAAAAAAGATGAAAAGCCCCAAAGAGAGAGATTGACACGTGGCAGCTACAGTGGGCTCGGACATAACAACACTTGTGAGGATGATGCAGGACCGGGCAGGGTTTCCTTCTGTTGTGCATAAGATCTCGGTCTCAGTCAGAACTAACTCAGCAGCACTCAGCAATAGCTTCAGTCTTTACAGGAGCAGATTGCCAGCTCTTTCTTCTGCAGACTCTATGGATGGGTTCAGAGGCTACAAGTCCAAAGTCAATAGCTTCGTCTTTCCTCGCCTCTCACTAAGTGCTGTTGAGTCAATTCCAACCCATAGCGACCCTGCATAGGGTTTCCAAGGAGCAGCTGGTGAGCGTGAAGCACCAACCTTGTAGTTCAAACGACTTTGCAGTCTGAACTTTGCATTAGCTCACAGCACCACACCAGGACTCCCAGCTCGTGGTAACCTTGGGTCTTCCTGGTTTGCAGCTGTAGGATGGCTCCCGGGTCATGTGACTGCCTTCCCTGTCTGTCTCGTCTCTTTCATAATGATGCCACTCATGTTCGATTAGAACCCACGCTACTCCAGTAAGGAGCCCTGTTGGCACAATGGTTAAGCTCTCAGTTGCAAACCAAAAAGTCGGCTGTTCAAACCACTCCCCCGACCCCTAGTGGTTCCTTGAAAGAAAAACTTGGAGATCTACTCCCCTAAGGATTACAGCCTAGGAAGTCTGGGGGTGTGGGGGAGCAGTTATATGCTATCCTTAGGGTCCTATGAGTCAGAATCGACTCAGTGACCACAGGTTTAGTTTAACAGGTTTTACCCTGTTAGGATAGGCACTGGACTACTAACCCCAATATTGGTGCTTCAGACTCACCAGCTGCTCCTCAGAAACCCTAATCAGGGTCACTATGAGTCGGTACTAACTCCACGGCACTTTACAACAATAAGAAATCGTCTCTGGAGAAGGACATGATGCTTGGTAAAGTGGAAGGTTAACAAAAAAGGAGGAAGACCCTCAACAAGATGGATGGACTTAGTGGCCGTGGCAGTGGGCTCACACAGCAGTGATCGTGAGGATGGGGCAGTACCTGACAGTCTTCTGTTGGTTGTGTGTAGAGTTGCTGTGAGTGGGAACTGACTCCATGGCACCTAATAACAACAATTATCTAAGGTCCCTGGGTGACATAAACATTTGCATTCACCCCGCGCCCCTTAGAAGAAAGATCTGATAATCTGTTCCCATAAAGGCTGCAGCCTGGGAAGCCCTGTGGGGGTCCTTCTGCTCTGACACGTGGGGTCACTGTGAATCAGCGTAGATTAGATGATACACAGCGACAGCTACTCCAGTTGACCTGACTGATTGCATTTTCAAAGACCCTATTTCCTACTACAGTTACTTTCATAGATACAGGGGTTAAGGTTTCATCATGTCTTTCTGGGGGAGGTGGTGGTGGTGGTTGTTACATGTCATTGAATCTGTTCCAACTCACAATGATAGAAAAATGGAAAAAATGCTGTGCTCTGCAAACCACAACCTGTTGTTAAGTACCTTTGAGTCGGTTCACACTCATAGTGACACAGTAGAGGGTTTCCAAGGAGTTGCTGGTGGATTTGAACCACTGACCTTGCGGTTAGCAGTCCAGTGTTTATCCTACAGCGCCACACCAGGGGAGGAGCGAAACACAATTCAAACTCTAGCCTGTGGAAAGAGCAGTGCCCCACTCTAAAAGAATGGGCACAGAGCCCTAAAGACAGCCCCTCAGACCTTTGCTGTTTTCTGAAGTTTTCATTTCCAAACCATGCTGGTGGGGGTTGCAAAATCATTTCAGTATGCTTCCGTATATTAGAAGAGAACAGAAGCTATCTCTGGGTGTTGCAAACCGTTCATGCACCCACTGCTGATCAAAAGGTCAGTGGGTCATATCTGCTCAGAGGTGCCTTGAAAGAAATGCCTGGCAGTCTCCTTAGGGACAACCAGCTGTGAAACCCCCACAAAGCACAGTTTTACTGGGATACACATGGAATCAGTCGCCAGGAGCCGCGCTGGGGTTTCGGTTTTATCGTCATCTTGGTCAGTGTTATAACAAGCAGTATGTAGCAGCTGTGTGTCCCTTGGCAGTATGAGCTTTGGTGTCGATTGTGAAGTACCATCGAGTCGATTCCAACTCGTAGGGCTTCTGTATAGGGCTTCCAAGGAGCAGCTGATGGGTTTGAACCGTCAGCCTTGTGCACTGCACCAAGAGTCCAGTATGGGCCATGGATGTAATGAAACTTTTCCAGTTGCCATGTTTTTAGAAAGTTTAAAAACAAAAAGATGCAGGCAAAATAAGTTTTGGCAAGATAGCACATTTCATGTGATGCTCAGCGGTTATATTTAATGCTCTTAGCTTGGTATGGATAGGAGCCCTCGTGACACAATGGTTAAGTACTCTGCTGCCAACTGGAAGGTCGGTAGTTCGAATCCATCAGTTGCTCTGTGGGGAAAGATGGGGCAGTCTGCTTCCATCAAGATTTACAGGATCAGAAACCCTCTGGGGGCAGTTCTCCTCTGCCCTGTAGGGTCCCCGTGAGTCACAGCCAATTGGATGGCAGGGGGCTTATAATGGGTAGCTTGGTGTGGGGGCACTCAGCACACGGGCTGACGTTACCGCTGGGAATCACTGCTATTTGTTACTGAGCTGTGGCAGGTGTTCCGCGGTTGTTGTAACTCTCCATTCCCCCCTCTCCACCTGCCCAGGTATGAGATCCTGACGCCCAACGCCATCCCCAAGGGTTTCATGGATGGGAAGCAGGCCTGTGAGAAGATGGTGAGTGTGAGGCAGAGCCTGGGGTGGGTGTCAGCTGGCCAGGGACCCAGGGGACAGAGGACGAGTGCCGAGCCCTCCCTCCATTGCCCCTCCTTTCTCTTCACACCCACAGATCCAGGCCCTGGAGCTGGACCCCAACCTCTACCGAGTGGGGCAAAGCAAGATCTTCTTCCGGGCCGGGGTCCTGGCCCAGTTGGAGGAGGAACGGGATCTGAAGGTCACGGACATCATTGTGTCCTTCCAGGCAGCTGCCCGGGGCTACCTGGCCCGCAGGTGGGCTTGGATTCTCTCCTAGAATCTTGGTGGCAGTTGGCCCTAGAAGCTGGAGCAGGGAGGGACCGACCAGATGGCCCCAGGTGCCAGGGCCTCTGAAGTGGTGGCAGGGCTGAAAAACTGAGTTGACAGCCACTGCTGCCCAGGCTTCTTGGTTCTAAGCGTCCCCTTGGGCGAGACCTGCTAGTAGGCCGCGCTAGGGACACAGAAAGGACTAGACATGGCCATAGGGGTGCCAACCATCCTGGTTTACTGGGACTGAACGGTTTCCCAGGATATGGACTTTCAAGGCTAAAATGAGCCAACCAGGATGAGTGTAGACCCCTCTACCTGGCTAACCCTTCAAGGAGTTCCCAGTGAGGAAGGGGAGGCGTTTTGGGAATGAATGGTCATAATCAAGGGTGATACGTGCCTGATTGGGGGTCACAGAAATACTGTCAGGAGACCAGGACCCCCTGGGTCCTGCTGGACGAAGGGGAAACGGGAAAGGTGTACCAGGCAGGAGAGAGGGAGAGGATGTGAGAGCCCGGGGTGTTTCAGGAATGCAGACAAGGTGTGGTAGCATCTCCTTCCCCTCTTTGGACTCGGTTCAGAGGGAAGATGAGAGAAAAAACAGTGGCAGGAAAGGATGCCCCGATGCCAACCTGAGGGGCTGGGGCTCTGCCAGGGCATCCTGGGAGCCATAGGAGAGCTTTGAGCAGAGGAAGGATGGGGTCCACGCTGGGTGTAAAAGACCCCTTTGATAGGATGTAGGGAGGGCTAGAGGGGAGAGATGGGAGGCTGGAGGGGAAGCTGGATGAGGGTCCAGGTGGGGGAGAATGAGGTCTGAGCAGGGCTGGGTCGTGGGGATGGGAAGGAGGGGACGACGGGCCAGGGAGAGTTAAGGGTAGGAAAGACCGGGCCAACCACCTACAAGCCGTGCACCCTAAGAGCTCCCAATACCACAGTGGTGTCTGCCCAGAGTAGGCATTTCATAGTGAGTGGCTCGATGAAGAGTGCTCACGAGACACTGGACATGGAGGACCCAAGTGTCCACTCTCCCACTGCCCGTCTCTCCCGCAGAGCTTTCCAGAAGCGGCAGCAGCAGCAGAGCGCCTTGAGGGTGATGCAGCGGAACTGCGCAGCCTACCTGAAGCTGAGACACTGGCAGTGGTGGCGGCTGTTCACCAAGGTGGGGGCACAGGGGCAGCAAGTGGGCAGGGCCTAGGAAGCCAGACCTGCTTGGGAAAGTGACTTCCTCTGCTGGGCAACCGGTTTTCTTCCCAAACTTGGTTAGCCAGAATCGTTTTCGTAGTAAGTAACAAAAAAAGACTAGAATCGGAGCAACATAGAATTACCATGGTACAGGACAGGTTCAGGTATAGTTGGATCCAGGGCTCCATTTTCTGAATCTGTGAAATACGGCTAGTCACCCCAAACTTGGTGTCTTCATTCTCTAGTGCTGTTATACCACGAGTGGGTGGCTTTGATTAACAGAATTGTTTTTCTCTCACAGTTTAGGAGGCTGGAAGTTCAAATTCAGAGTTCCGACTCTAGGGGAAGGCTTTCTCTCTTTATCGGCTCTGAGGAAAGGCCCTTGTCTTCTTTCAGCATCTGTAGGCCAAGCATTCCTTGGAGATCTCCATGTGTCTTGGCATCAATCTTCCCCTGGATCTAGGGGCTTCCCAGCACAGGGACCCCGGGTCCAAAGGACACGCTGCACTCCTCGGTCTTCTACTTGGTCCCTCTGAGTTCTCTTGCTTATTTTATCTCTTTTTCAGAAGAGATTGACTCCAGATACAACCTAATCTTGTACATTGCATGCAGCCTCATCAGTATCACAGACATGAGGATTCACAATACATGGGATAATTATATCAGACCAGGGCTGAGCACATTAGAACCCATCAGGGGGTGATAACCTCTCATCATGCCTCTTAACTGGCAAATCACTGAGAATCCAGGTCCAACCAAATTGGCACCCAACCTTTAACTATTACACTTGGTTAGCCAGAATCCTTCAGGTAGCAAATGACAGAAAACCTAAATCGGAGTAGCGTGGCTAAAAGATACAGGACAGCTTCAGGTCCAGCAAGATCCAGGATGAGTCCAGGTTCAGTGACTTTCTAGAGGGATTCGCAGAACTCAGAAAAGTTGATTTGTTACAGAAAATGATGCATTTTTAGATCAGCAAAGGTCAAAGGTGCACAGTGATACTCCCCGAGAGAACAGACTCAAGCTTCTGGTTGTGGAGACACATGGAGTATTGCCAACCAGGGAAGCTCACTCAACCCTTGTTGTCCAGAGCAAATATTGCAGGTCAGTTACATAGGATGGAGGACCCTGCATGACTGATCTTAGCATCTCACTCTGTAGCCCCCAGACATCAGATAGAATTCCCTGTGGCCCAGGACAACCCCCATAAATTACATTGTCGGGGTAGACAATCTAGCACAACACCAAAACAAAAAACAATTGCTGTCAGGTCGATTCTGACTCATGGGTATCAGAGTAGAGCTGTGCTCCAAAGGGCTTTCAGTGGCTGAGGATTTTTTAGAAATAGATCTCCAGGACTTTCTTCCAAGGTACCTCTGGGTAACCTTTCAGTTAGCAGTAGGTCCAATACCCCAGGTCAACAAAGAACACTCATCAGTCAGATTATTCCAAGAGTTTCCAGGTTAGCTCCTAGGAGCTGGACAAGGACCTGTCCTTTCTTTGGAATGTGTAACACTTAAGCTTTTGCTGCACAAAGGTCCCCATGGTGGTATCAGCAGTCAGACCTTCTGCATCGTCCGTGTGGCTTTCCTCCATGATGCTCACTGGCAGACCCTTTCCAGACGGGCCCCGAGCAGATCGAGACTTGTTTCCACTGCCCCCTCAGCCAGCTTGGCCTCATTGACATCCAGTGTATTCCGATACATAGTGTTCCTACAGGACAGGGTAGGATTGCCCCATATGGTTCCCAAAATTATAAATCTGTATGGAAACGGGCTGCCTCATCTTTCTCCCACAGAGCGGCTGGTGGGCTTGAACCACCAACCTTGTGGTTGGCAGCTGGGCACGTTACCTGCTACACTACCAGGGTTCCTTTTTGGCCAGCTTGGTCCTCCCTTATCTCAGAATACCATCCGGAGGCCCAAGTCTCACTCTCATTGGTCCAGCTATTGTCATGTGACCATCTCTGACGTCAGCTGAATCAGGTTGAACCACATGCTCACCCTCAGCAGAGGGGAGGAGTAAGGTCTCCAGGCCCCTCTGTGAGCTGGGGGTAGAGAAGGAAGATGTTCTTCCAGTGGGAAATTGGAGAGAGGGGAGAAGGGAAAAAGTGGTAGAGGTCAAAATTCAACTTTTCCGTGTAATTGCCAAATCAGTTCTCTAGTTGTTAGTTCAATTACGCTGCTGTAACAGAAATACCAAACGTGGGTGGCTTTAACAAGCTGAAATGTATTATCTCACAGTTGATGAGGCTAAAGTCCAAACTCAGGGCGTTAGTTCTGGGGGAAGGATTTCTCTCTCTGTGGGCTCTGGAGGCAGGTCCTTGTCCTTTCGTCTTTGGTTCCTTGGCTTCTTGATGACCTTGATGAGGCTTAGCATCTGTCTCCTACCATCATCTCTGTTTCCTGGTTGCTTGTTGAATCTCTTTATAGCTCAAAAGTGATCTATTGAAGATGTACTCAATGCTAAAACTGTCTCATTAGCATAGCAAAGAAAATTAATTTTTGAATGGGGTTTATAACCACAGGTATGGGGCTAAGGATTTGCAACCCATATTTTGGGGGGGGCACAATTCAATCCATAAAATTTGTGTATTACCCAAACCTGAACCCCACAATGTAAAATGCATCTTTCACTACAGACCTTGATCTAAGAATAGCAGTGATCACATGTCCCCATATGTGGGGTCTGCGGTCGCCCCCTTGGTACAGATGAGGACAGTAATGTACTTGTCCACAGGTGGAGAAACTGGGATTTGAACCCAGATATTCAGGCCCCTTACTGTTGATGTGATCCTCAACCCAGGCCCTGCGGCCCCAACCTTGGGAAATGGAGGTTGGCAGGAGTGCCCCCACCATTCATGACTCCCTTCCCCCAGGTGAAACCACTGCTGCAGGTGACGAGGCAGGATGAGGTGCTGCAGGCTCAGGTCCAGGAGCTGCAGAAAGTGCAAGAGATGCAGCAGCAGAGTGCCCGCCAGGTGGGCGAGCTCCAGGACCGCCTGGTGCAGGTGAGAGGCTGGGGCCTGGGCAGGGCGGGGCCAAGAGGTTGAGGGTGGGGCCTGACTGGAGCCAGCATAAGGGGCGGGGCCAGGAGTCTGGGGGCGTGACCTGGGTGGAACCAGTGTGGGGCGTGGTCATGAGCCTGAGGCGTGGTCATGAGCCTGGTGCTTGGTCTTAAAGCAGTGGGTAGGGTCATTGTGTTGTGGGTGCGATCTGGGTGGGGGGCTAAAAGTTGAGCCTTCACGTGCCAGGGATTGGGGGAAGGAAGAGAGGGGGCACGGAGCCCAGGTGTACTGAAGCTGGACTGGGGCGTGGCCATAGCTGTATCCCCTACCTCCCACCTCGCTGGTGTTAAGGGACAGGAGAGACCAGTTAAGGGCACTTCCGTCTGACCCCGACTCTGTCCCTAGTTGGAGGAGGAGCGGACCCGGCTGTCGGAGCAGCTTCGGGCAGAGGCTGAGTTGTGCGCTGAGGCGGAGGAGACGCGCGGGCGGCTGGCAGCACGCAAACAGGAGCTGGAGGTAGTGGTGTCAGAGCTGGAGGCCCGAGTGGGCGAGGAGGAAGAGTGCAGCCGCCAGCTGCAGACGGAGAAGAGGAGGCTGCAACAGCACATACAGGTCTGCGGAGCTCCCCCAGCCCCTGCCCCTCCACCCACCTCCTCACCAACTTCCACTTCGACACACCTGCTCCCATTTGCTTGTGAATTTGCTGAAAACGCTGCCCAAAGTAGCTTAAGTAAAAAAGAATCGTTTTTGGGGTTCAGATAATAGGAAAGTCCTGGTTACCAGCTTCAGGTGTGGCTGGATCAAGGTGCTCAAGTCATGTCCTAAGTACTCAGCTTCCATCTCCCGCCTCCAGTTACCTCTGTGCTGCTGTGTCCACTAACCGGACTGCATTTCCCTGGCTCTCCCCAGCAGCTGCTGTAAATGTAGGTCTTAACAAGTGTGGCTTTCCCAGCGGAGTGCGTCTCTGTATCAAGAGCCCCAAAGTCCTGGGTCTCACTCTCTGTCCAGGCTTAGATTATGCACTTATTCCCAAGCTCTCCAGTCAGCTCCTTGGTGATGTGTGATCATTTCCATCACATGGCTTGGCGTGTATGCATTAACATCACTTTGCTATTCCACAGACTTCATCAATATAGTTCTCCTAATCTAGGAAATTCTTAACCCAGAAAGATCACAGTTGCAAACAATTTATTGTTCATTTCAGTAACTTCTTGAAATTCTCATTTGGTTAATCATTTAACCAAAAAAAAAATTTATAGCCATAATCATGCTAATAAAATCTTAGAGGTGATTCTGACTCATAGCGACCCTGTGTAGGGTTTCCGAGACTCAGTCTTTATGAGAGCAAAAAGCCTCAACCCCACACCTGGGCCTGAGAGAGAATCTATGTCTCCCACAAGTACAACCAACACAGATTGAATGTTTGGGGAAGAAAATTGCATCCTGGGTGGAAATTGCCTCTCCTCCCTGAAGTGGGCACATCGCCTCGCTGACCTCTTCTCTGTGAAACTCCGACACCCCAGCCTGCAACCTCACCTGCCTAGCCCAAGACTCTCGACCCCTCTGGCTCCTAGTCCCCAGCTCCTTACCCCTCCTCCTCCCCTTCTCCAGGAGCTGGAGACCCACCTGGAAGCTGAGGAAGGGGCGCGGCAGAAGCTGCAGCTGGAGAAAGTGACGACAGAGGCGAGGCTGAAGAAGTTAGAAGAGGGTCTGCTCCTTTTGGAAGACCAGAACGCCAAGCTGAGCAAGGTCAGTGGGCCATGAGCGGCCAGCCAGGGGTGTGGTGGTGCAGGGTGGGCATGTGGCCGGCCGGGTTAGAAGTTTTCAGATTTAATCTGCAGGCTGTTGGCTTTTTCTTTATTTTTCTAACAGCTTTTTTGGGGTTCTCAAACACAGCTCACCTGTTGAAAGCCTGCATTTTGCTCTTTCTAGTTTGTTCACAGACGTCTGTTCTGGAACATTTCCATCATCTCAGAAAGAAACCTGTACCCTTTAACTATCCTGTCTCTATCCCCCTAGCCTCTTCCTTCCTCTACCCCTAGAAACAAGTGAGCACTTTCTGATTTTTGTAGACGTCAGATAAATGAAGCTGTAGATCTGGTAGTCTTTTTTGACTGGCTCCTTTCACTCAGCGTGTGTTTGAGGTTCATCAGTTTGTGTAAGGATTTGACTCCTCTTTGTGGCTGAATAATGCCCCATTGTATGCGTTTTTTGTTGATCCATTCTGCATAGGATAGGTGTTTATGTTGCGATAGGCTGTGGTTTTGGACTCCTGGTGTGGTGCTGTAGGATAAACACTGCACTGCTAACCGCAAGGTCAGTGGTTCAAATCCACCAGAAACTCCTTGAAGACCCTATACAGGGTCACTATGAGTCTGAACAGACTCAGTGGTACATAACAGGCTGTGGTTTGCAGAGCACAGCATTTTTTCCATTTCTCTTATTTTTTGCATTTTATTGTGAATTGGGTGACGTTTACAGAGCACATCAGTTTTCCAGTCAACAATTCATACCCATTTTGTTTCATGCCATTGATTGCTGTTCCCACAATGTAATGTTATTCATTCCGCTTCCTGTTTTCCCATTTCCATTGCTCCTTTCAGTGACTGTAATTCGCATTCTCTGCATCCATAAGATTTACGGTTTCAGAAACACTATGAAGCCATTCTACTCTGTCCTGTTCACTGTGTGTGTGATGGTCACCAGCTTAATGATATTTTAGAAGAGCTTCTAGAAAGCAATAAGTCAACAAGCTAAACAGGTGGAAGGAAAAGGGCACAGAAGAGCAGCACGTGGTAAAGAGCAGCTTCTGACCCAACCCCGAGACCCTCATTTTCTGTCACCATGCAGGAGCGGAGGCTGCTGGAGGAACGTCTGGCTGAGTTCTCGTCCCAGGCAGCCGAGGAGGAGGAAAAGGTGAAGAGCCTCAATAAACTGCGGCTCAAATACGAGGCCACAATCGTAGACATGGAAGGTGAGTGCCTTACCTGCCCGGTGGGGACCTACAGAGTCCTGTGCACACTCAAGTGGAGGGCCTCGGGCAGGCTTTATGAGGCATGGGGCCTCAGTGGCCCTGCCTGTGAAATGGGGACAGGAAGAAAGGCTCAGGGCAGACTGTGTAGCCTCCCAGGCCTGATGTGCCTTCTGCCTTTAAATCCAGTTCTCTTCCTTTGGTCCCAGTCTTGTATCTCTCTAGCTAGCTTTATCTCTCTCTCTCTCTCTCTCTCTCACTCTCACTGACTGTCCCTCAGACTCGCTGGTTCAGGTACATTCTGTGTCTCTATCCTTTGCTGTTGATACATCCCAACAAAACAGGGAAAGGGACATAGGATACAGGGGAGAAGGAAATGCTGACAGAGGAGAGAATGGGGCAACGATAGGGAGCAGTTGGCATGGGGGTGATAGGGGGAAAGGGAGAGGACAGTGCCTGGGGGCTGGCCCCAGATGGGGAAGCAGGTTGTGGTGAAGATAGGGGAGTATACATGATCAGTGCTGGGTCTCCCTCTGAGGGAGCTGCTGAATCTGAGACCCTCACATGTGGCCCCCATTCCCCGCTGCAGACCGCCTACGGAAGGAGGAGAAGGGCCGTCAGGAGCTAGAGAAACTGAAGCGGCGGCTAGATGGCGAGAGCTCCGAGTTACAGGAGCAGATGGTGGAGCAGCTGCAGCGGGCGGAGGAGCTGAAGGCCCAGCTGGGCCGCAAGGAGGAGGAGCTGCAGGCGGCCCTAGCCAGGTGCGGAGGGGGGGGCTGCCAGGGTGAGCTGCTGAGGAGAGCCGTGCAGGTGCATGTCCTCGTGGGTGACCTCCCATAGGAAGGATGAGGAGTCGGGGTGTCCTGCCCCATGAGGAGAGCAGTACGGGTGCTTGTCCTGTAGGGTGAACAGTGGGGGCACACAGCCTGCTGGTATTGGGGGTGCTCCGTTCACACTGCCCTGGGAACACACTGCAGCCAATCCACTTCCTAACTGGGCTGTAGGCATGCCTCGCCTCCCCTGAGCCTCTGCGTCTTCTTCTGTCAAAGTCAGATGACAAGCATTCTGAGCCTATAGGGCTGAGGACAAAGTGCACCAAGGGTCTGTGTGAATGGTATTGTACACTGCCCAGCTTGTAAGACCAAAACCCAAACCACTGCCATTGAGTGGATTCTGACTCACAGTGAGGGTCCCAGTAGGACTGAGTAGAGCTGCCCCACGGAGTTTCCAAGCCTGCAGATCTCTGTGGAAGCAGATTGCCTGCTCTTTATTCTGTCGAGCGACTGATGGATCTGAACCACCAACCTTTCAGTTAGCACCAGAGTGCTTAACCAGTGCACCACCAGGGCTCTTTGAACAGCCCATTGGCAGCTATGAATTGACAAGTTGCTTGGCTGTGGTAGGGATAATTATTATAATGACAGTAATTCACAATCATCGGGCACCTGCTGTGTGCCAGGGAAGACCCTGATGGTGCAAGTGATTAATGAACTCGACTTGGTTGTAAGTTCACATTCAGTAAGAGGCACCTCAGAAGAAAGACCTGGCTAGCTACTTGTGCGGAGCACAGGTCTACCCTGACACATAGCAGGATCCCCATGAGTTGAAGCCACCTCAGTGGGACAGTGTGCCAGGCGTGGCCCTGAGAATTTCAGATGCATTTATGCACCGTGCTCCATCCCATCGAAGACGCCAATAATTCCATAGTTTAACCTCTCTGAAGCCGACTTTAGAAATCATGGAACGTGTGTGCCAAGCTTCAGCGTCCAAATCCTGGCCCTCCCCTTTCTGGCCTTGTGAGCTCACCCAGTTATCATCACCCAGTTCACTAGCCTCAGTTTCCTCATCTATAAAATGGGGGCAACTGTAGAATTTTTTTCTTGGATTAGTGTGAGGATGAAATGAGAAAGAGCTCGTACAGTGCTTGGCACACAGTTAATACTGAATGTTCTCATTACTGCTTTTCACTATTCTTCTTGAATGTTTTTCCATTGTATTAAATTGAGACGATATTTCTATAACATCAAATTAGCTGTCTTAAAATGATCAATTCAGTGGCGTTTTTAAGTTCACAATGTTGTGCAGCCATCACTACTACCTAGATGCGTAACATTTTTGTCTCTCCAAAATAAAACGCACACCCATTAGTAGCTCCCTCCCCCACCATCCTCTCTTGCTGTCGAGTCCATTCTGACTCACGATGACCCCACTGCTCTACAGGGTTTTCTTGGCTGTCCTCTTTACAGTAGATTGCCAGACCTTTCTTACGTGGTACCACTCAGTGGGTTTTGAACTGTCCACCTTTGGGTTAGCATCCAATCACAAACTGTGCCACCCAGACAGTGCCTCATCCTTTGAGGAATAGGAACCTGATACTGAGAGGGGTTAAATCACTTACAAGGATCATGCCATAAACATCAGAGCAAGGGATTCGAACCCAGGTCTTCATGGCACCTGTGGCAAGTTAACCTGGATCAACACTGCCCTTGCAGTGACTGTGCACAGAGGGACAAGAGGCTGGATCCCACGAGGACCGCTAGTAGAGACTCTGGGGGCCACTCTTCTGCTCCTTGGCCATATGACCTGGACGAGTGGTTCCCCTTCTCTGTGCCTCAGTTTCCCCACTCAGTGTGAGGTTAAAGGTAAAGGGCTTGCGTGTGGCGGGAACTCTGGATGTGTCAGCTGGGTTTCTCATTGGTACCAGTCTCAATTCAAGGCATAGTACACTGAGGCCCCATGTAGTGAGTATCACTCATCCAAGAGCAGAGTCAGGATTTGAACTCCAGACTGCCTGCCCCTAGAAGCTCCTCCAGTCCACCCATAGGAGTCCTTCCTCACTCCCTGCCTACCCCATACCACATTCATGTCCTTGTGGATCCCCAGGGCGGAGGAGGAAGGCGGGGCACGGGCCCAGCTGCTAAAATCGCTCCGGGAGGCCCAGGCAGGAATGGCCGAGGCTCAGGAGGACTTGGAGGCGGAGCGTGTGGCCAGGGCCAAGGCCGAGAAGCAGCGCCGAGACCTGGGCGAGGAGTTGGAGGCACTGCGGGGCGAACTGGAGGACACGCTGGATTCTACCAACGCACAACAGGAGCTCCGGTGAGGCTGGTGGGGTGCCCGGGAGGCTTTACACTACAGGTCACTCACCCTGCAGTTGTTTTCATTTAGTTTGTTGTCATTGTTGAGAATATACACAGCAGTTGTTGTTAAGTGCCATCCAGTCATTTCTGACTCATAGTGACCCTGTGTAGGGTTTCCGAGGCTGGAAATCTTTTGCAGAAGAAAACCTCATCTTTCTCCTGTTAGAGTGGTTGGTGGGCTTGAACGGCTGACTTTGTAGTTTGCAGTTCTGTGTTCATCCTACAGAGCCATTGCCCTCCCCCCACAGAAGCAGAATATACACCAATTTCAGTGTTTTTCCACGGGCCATTCCGGGATGTTGATCACGTTCTTCGAGTAGTGCAAACATTGCTCTCCCACCTTTTCTAAATCATTCTGCTATCTTAGTACGGTTGTGGTTGAGAACCTACATAGTAGAACATAAACCAGTTGAACGGTTTCTGCATGTGCGTTCAGTCACATTGATTTCATTCTTCAGGTTGTCCAATCATTGTCCCCCTCCTTTCTGAGTTGTCCTGTTGTTTTAGGCTTTGTTGTTGTTAAGAAGCTACTTAGTAGAGCATACACCAACTCAACAGTTTCTCCATGGACTACTCAGCAGTGCAAATGGCATTCTTGAAGTTGGGCAGCCATGTTTACCCTCCTTTTTCATAAACCCTCTGTCCCGAGCTCCCTTTCCGTTGTCAATTTCTCCCACACAGATAATTCTTTAAGTGAGCATGGTGTTCAAGGGCAAACATTCTTAGTGTAGGTTTTCCTGAGTTTACTATTTTTAATCTTTTTTTGTTGTTGTTACTGCGTAACATATATATAACGTGTATATGTATAACAAGGAACTGTCTCGTGATAATGGTCAAATAACACAATGAACATTTGTTGCTGAAGTGTCCGTGTGAAGATTGTTGAGATGGCAAATGTTTTGTTGCCTACGTATGTACTAAGTACAATAAGAAATAGTGTGTATCTCATGAAGCGTTGTTTTATTCTGACACACAAAGGCTTACCATGAGTTGAGTTGACTGGAGAAAATATATGTTTGTACTACAATAAGAAATATATTTACACACACACGTGTATGACGCTCTAGTTAAGGAGCTCTGGTAGCGTAGTGATTACCTCAAGGTCAGCAGTTCGAAACTACCAGCTGTTCCACGGGAGAAAGATGAGGCTTTCTGCTCCCATAAAGGTTTACAGCCTCGGAAACCCTATCAGGGTCGCTATGGGTCGGGACCGACTCTTTGGCACACTAACACCACCATCACCAGTATAATGGTTAAGAATTGAGCTGCTAATCTCATGGTCAGTATTTTGAAATTATCAGCAGTTCCTATAAAGATTTATAGCCTCAGAAATTGTCTACAGGGTCTCTATGAGTTGGAACCAACTCCATGGCACATAACCACCACCTCCATGTATCTATACGTGTATGAGTGTGTGTATATATGTAGATATCATGAAGCAATGTTCTGTTCGGACAGCGGTCACCGTGAGTTAGAATCAACTAGAGAAGATATATATCTACGTACATATAATAAAACATTTGCCATTGCAGCACTTCTTATGTGTTTAGTGCCCATTGCCTTGGAGTTGATGCAGACTCCTGGCGATCCTGTGTGGGATTTCTGAGAATATAAATCATTTTGGGAACAGAATAGCATCATCTTTCTCCCACAGAGTGATTGGTAGGTTGGAACCTCCAATTTATGGGGTTAGCAACCCAGTACCTAATCCACGACATACCACCGGGGCTCCCTGTGGCTAGTTCAGTGACATTAATTAATTACATGCAACATATTACGCCGTCATCACCACTGATGGTTTCTAAAGTTTTCCATTGAAACCCCAAATAGAAACTTGGTGCCTGCCAGTTAATGGTTATCCATTCCCCCCCACCCCACACTCACCCCTGATAACCACAAATCAACTGGGATCTCTATGCCTTTACCAAATTCTAGATTTCTTATACAGTATGAGGGAACTTCAAAAAACGTTAGTGGAAAAATTCCACTATTTTTTCATTCTGTCTTTCCATGATCTTTTTTGAAGCTCCTTTTTGTTTGTCCTTTTGCAAATGACTGACTTTGTTCAACATGTTTTCAAGGTGCATCCGGGTCATAGTACTATCAGAGCTTTGTTTCTCTTTACAGCTGAGTCTTATCCTATCATATGGATGGACCACATTTTGCTTATCCAGTTCACACAGCATTGGTGTATTGAGCATCAGCTCTGGACCCAAACTAAACCAAACCTATTGCTGTGTAATAGATCCTAACTTACAGTGACTTCATGTTGTTGTTGTTGTTAAGTGCCATCAAGTCGGTTGCGACCCTGTACAGGGTTTCCAAGGGTGTAAATCTTTACAGGAGTAGAAAGCCTCATCTTTATCCTGCGGAGCGGCTGGTAGTTTCGAACCGCTGACCTTAATGTTTGCAGCCCGATTCGTAACCACTATGCTACCAGAGCTCCTTCATAGGGCAGGGCAAAACTGCCCCATAGGGTTTCCAAGGCTGTCTTTATGGAAGCAGGATGCCACATGTTTCTCCCTGGGAGTAAGGGGGTGGGTTTGAACTGCTTACCATTTGGTGAGCAGCCAAATACTACATCACTGGACCACTCAGGCTCCTCTGCTCAGAGCGCAACCTGGACCATCCTGGGGACAGTGATGGGTCAGGCAGAGGTGTGTTCCTCAGAAGTTCCCAGTCAGCAGAGAGGCAGCCCAACCCTGAAGAATATAATGTTAGGTAGGAAGAGAAGAGGCCCTTACCAAGTCTATTGGAGGGGAGGTTCCAAGGAAGACTTTGCTGAGATGGGTCATTTGAATGGGGTTTTCAAATATGTGTAGGAGTTTACTATCAAAGCTGCACTCCTCCCACAACATTGCTGCTTGTATCCCTTGAGGAGTGTGGGGTGAACTCACCTTCCTTGGAGTGAACTAAGAAAAAGGTACAACTTCCTATCAGAAACTCCCCTCAGTGCTGAAATTCTGTTTCTTTCAATTAAAAGATCCAAGAGGGAACAGGAAGTGACAGAGCTGAAGAAGGCTCTGGAGGAGGAGACGAAAATTCACGAGGCGTCAGTGCAGGAGCTGAGGCAGCGCCATGGCCAGGCGTTGGGGGAGCTGGCGGAGCAGCTGGAGCAGGCGCGGAGGGTGAGAGGGGGCTGCTGGTCAGAGTGGGCACCTCTGCCAGGTCGGGTCCTGGTGTCTCCTTCAGGCGTTCCCATTCTCTTCGTCTTTCGCTCCATGAGCGTCCAGTGTGTGCTGCACTCAAGGCACGGTGCTGGGGACGGAAACATCAGAGTGAACCCTGTCTCATGGAGCACATGTTAGAGTGAGGCCGTAAATAGAATAAATCCATGTGTTCTGCACTATCAGGGTGGTAAGCCCTGTGAGAAAATAGTGAACAGGGGAAGGTGGGTCAGAGTGCTCGGGCCTAAGGGTTGTGATTTTAGGTCCCGTTACCACAGAACTCTCTGGGAAGGCAACATCTGAGTCAGTTGCTAAGGGCAGTGTGGGTTAGCCACGTGGGCGCTGGCGGGGGGAGTGTGTGTCAGGGAGTGGGAAATGCCTCTTCAAAAACCTTTGAGGCAGGAGAGTGCCTGGTTGTTGAAGGAACAGTGGGTCATTCCAGACAGTGGGAACAAAACTAGTACAGCGGCCCTGAGGCAGCGGAGTGTCTGGGTGTGGGAGGAATAAGGACGAGGTCTCTGTGGCTGAAGCAGAGTGTGTGGGGCAAGTCGAGTGGGATGTGATCCCAGGACCCAGAAATGAGTTGAGGGGCTCTTGGCCTGGTGGGGGGTGGGATATGAAGACACAGGCACCCCAGTCCTGTATGCCCATTGGAGGTAGATAAACTCATTCCATAAGCTCATAAGAAGTCCAGCCACACCCTGGGGTCTCTGTCCTGTTGAGTAGATAAGGGAGGGGGCACTTGTAAATGTTGGCTGACCCCGACAGGGCAAAGGTGCGTGGGAGAAGACCCGTCTGGTCCTGGAGGCCGAGGTGTCAGAGCTGCGGACAGAGCTGAGCAGCCTGCAGGTGGCCCGGCAAGAGGGCGAGCAGCGGAGACGGCGCCTGGAGGTGCAGCTGCAGGAGGCGCAGGGCCGGGCTGGCGACGGGGAACGGGCGCGCGTGGAGGCCACAGAGAAACTGCAGCGGGCCCAGGTGAGTGGGGGACCTGGGGGGGTGGTTTCTGCTGTGTGTTCACAGGAATAATGCTTCTGTGAACACCGGTGGTCTAGTTCTTATGTTTTCACTTCTGTGGATACACATCTAGGAGCGGAATTGCTGGGTCCTAGGCTGACTGATTTAAAGGAGTTCTGGTAGCGTAGTGGTTACGAATCGGGCTGCGAACCACAAGGCCAGCAGTTCAAAACTACCAGCCGTTCCGTGGGAGAAAGATGAGGCTTTCTGTTCCCGTTAAGATTTACAGCCTCGGAAACCCTGTACAGGGTCACTATGGGTTGGAACCGACTCCACAGCACACAGCCACCACAGCCACCAGGCTGACTGATTTAGGAGTCGTGGTGTGGCGCTGTGGGCTAATGCATTGGACCACAAAGTCATTTGAACCACAGGGTCGGTGGTTCAAGCTCACCAGCCATTCCTTGGAAACCCTGTACAGGGTCACTATGGGTCGGAACCGACTAGATGGTACTTGACAATAACCACAAGTCTAACTTAGGAGTCCTGGTGCGGTGCTATACGATAAAGCATTGGACTGCAAGGTCGGCAGTTCAAGCTCACTAGCCATTCGTTGAAACTGACTTGATGGCACTTAATAACAGCAGGCGAACTCTGAGGAGTCCTGGTGGCACTGTGGAGTGGACACCAGGCTGCTAACTGCAAGGTCAGCTGTTCAAAGCTACCCCCTGCTCCACGGAAGAAAGATGAGGCTGTCTACTGTCATCAAGATTTAGTCTTGGAAACCTCTGTAGGGTCGCTGTGAGTCAGAATCGACGTGATGGCTGTGGGTTTGGTTTTAGGTAACTCTAAGGAATAATTAGGCCACTAGTGGAAAGGTTGGGGGACCCATCCGTGGAAGATCTGTTCCCAGAAAGATGACAGCCTTGGAGACCCTGGGGGGCAGTTGGACTCTGTTGTAGGTGTTTGCTATAAGTTGGAAAATCCAACGAGCATCACGGGATAACTTGTTTGCACTGTGAGACAAGGTGCCTCAGTGGTCGAATCCTCGCCTTCCTTCAGGAGACCCAGGTTCAAGTCCCAGCTAGTGTACTTCTTGCACGGCCATCCCATGATTGTCAGTGGAGACTTGCGTGTTACCACAATGCTGGATGGGTTTCAGCAGAGCTTCCAGACTAAGATACATGAGGAAGAAAGTCAACTTCCAAGGTCTTGGCCAAAACCCAACCCTCAAAGGACCATGGGCATGGCTCAGGATCGGGTAGTTTTTTATTCCCTTGTGCGTGAGATCGTCATGAGTCGGGGGCCGACTGGATTCAGCCAACAGCAACGTTTCGCCTTTTGGGAAGCTGCTAGTGGTGGTCTTCTGCAGAGACCACTGCAGTGGAGGGCTTCACCCCATGCACCTTCCCCACAGGTGGAGCTGGACAGTGTATCTGGGGCGCTGAGCGAGGCTGAGTCCAGAGCCATCAGGCTGAGCAAGGAGCTGAGCAGCACCGAGGCCCAGCTGCACGACGCCCAGGTGACCACAGCTGCCCTTTGATCCCCAGCCCACATGCTCCTCACCCCTGCCTTCCTCCTGATGTCCCTTCTCCGTCCATCCAGGAACTGATGCAGGAAGAGACCAGGGCAAAGCTGGCCTTGGGGTCCCGGGCACGAGCTCTGGAGGCTGAGGCAGCTGGCCTGCGGGAGCAGCTGGAAGAGGAGGCCACAGCCAGGGAGCGGGCCGGTCGGGAGCTACAGGCAGCCCAAGCCCAGGTGAGCAGTTAGTTCCAGCTGGGGGCCTGAGAGGAGTCATTGTCTTCCACCCTTCTGCTCCTGAGTCCCCCGACGTCAAGGACAGTTTCTTCATTTGCTAATGTTGCTGTAACAAAAACAACAAGTGGGCAGTTTTAAAGAACAGGAGTTTATTCCCTCATAGTTACAGAGGCTTGACTGCTAACTGAAAGGTTGACAGTTTGAGCTCACCCCACGGTAACTGAGGAAGAAAGGTCTGGCAGTCTGAGTCTATAAGATTATAGCCAGTGCTGCAATGAGTTTCGATGATGGGTAAGACGGAGGAATTCGCACTGACCACCTAAGACAGGCAGCGTCCCCTAAACAAATAATAAATAAGTGGGAAACGGAGGTGGACCATGCAGACCCGGCCAGGAGTTCAAGTCCCTGTGGTTCCAACCGTTGCAGACCATCCAAACCATAGGCTCTGAGGATCAGACTTTAGCCACCTAGCAGACATAGCAAACTGTCCCTCATCTGATTATTCAGTTATGCTTGTTAGTAATCGCATACATGAGCCCTGGATATCCACAGACAAATGTAAAAACCTCCCCTAAAAGCTGAGACTGTAAATTCCAAAAAAGCAAAGTTTCCGCCCTCCACCCCCACCCCCAAAAAAAGAGAAAAGCCAAAGAGGATAGAAAGGAAACACTGTTGACTGATGATGTATGGAGGGGATTGTAATCAATGTAATGAAACAAGTCATATGAATGGCTGAATTTGAAGCTGATGATCTGTCCTGTAAATTTTCACTCAATTCACAATAAAAACCTTAAAAAAAAGATTACAGCCAGAATCTGAGATCAGAAGAACTTGATAGTGCCCGGCTTTCGCTGCCCATCACTCTGAAAGTCCTGGATAGAGTGGGAGAAAAGGTGGGACCAAACTCAGAATCATATGAAAGACCAGACTTACTGGTCAGACAGAGACTAGTGGGACCCCCAAGTCTGTGACTCTTGGACACCCTTCAAACCTGGAACTAAACTCACCCCCCTGGCTCAGCTTTCCACCATAATGACAGGTCTGTATGGTGAACTGCAGTAGACAGTTCTTAACAACAATCAATGGTCAGAGATCAAAAGGGCAGCATTTGCCTGGGGAGGATGCTCAGGAGGCAGGAAGGGAGGACAAACAGAAATGGGAACCACAGGGGAGGAGTGGGAAGGAGTGCTGCTACTTTGAGGGGATCACAACCAGTGTCCGGAAACAAAATGTGTATGAATTGTCGAGTGGAAAACCAGCTTCACCCAAATGAAAATTAAAAATGAGAAAACTAAAATCAACAGCGAGGAAAACCCCGTGAGCTCGGGTCTACACTGCGGTACCTGGGTCGCCGTGAGTCGGAGTCGGCTTGGTAGCAATAGGTCTGGTTTTGGTTTTAGGCGGCTTGAAGTCTAATTCAGGGGGTTGGCTCTAGGGTAGGGTCGTCCTTGGTCTCTTTTGGCCTCTAGTGGCTGCTGGAAATGCTTGAGGTACTTGGACTGGTCCATGCGTCTGTCCACTTCATCATTCTTCCCCGTGTGTGTGTGTCTTGGCATGCCGGCTGTTTTTATAAGACACCACTCCGAAGGGATTAGGTTTAAGACCTGCCTGACTCCAGTATGTCCCCGTGCACATATCAGCAACAGGAAAACAATTTCCAAACAGGATCCTATTCGTGATTCATGGTTACAGGGTTAGGACTTGAACATAACTTACGGGGGACAAAGTCCAACCCATAACAGCCTCATTTGGCATCATTAGTTCAAATTCCTGGTGGTGAAAATATAAAAGAAAAAAAATAAACAACAACAAAAAATTCCTGGTGGTGGTCTCACCACCACCTCACCCACCCACCCCACCAGCACCCTCCCCATGCTCCCCACGCTCCCCACAGCTCTCCTGCCGCCGGGAACTGCTCTGTCCCACTTTTCTGTTCCCCACAGCCTTTTCTCAACCTCCTGGGCAATCATCTCTCCCAAAGGGGTCTTTCTACACCTTCAGCCGACCCTGTCCCTCCCCTGCTCACAGCTCTCTCGGGGCTCCCCAGCACCCCTTCCCAGACACAGCCTTCGAGCCCCTCTGTTCTCGGGTCCTTCTGTCTTCAGCTGCCCTCACCTCTCATCTCCCCTAAAAAACACATTTCAATCTTAAATGGACTCACCCCCAGCCCTTCTCAGCCTCCAGGCAGGGAGCAGTGCCCCTCTGAGCTTCCACAACCCTTCTTCCTTTCTGTCCCACTCTATCTCCCTGGGCCAGGGCTTTTGTGGCCTAAAGTCTTCCCACCAGAGAGCCCTGTGAAGGGGTAACTGTATCAAAGTTAAATCTGGGTCACCAGCGTCACCCAACAGTAACCCTTGAGGGAAAAAAAAAAAAAGCCTGTTGAATGAATGAGTGATTAATGCATGCATGCAAATAGCCTTCTCCAACTGGCAAACTTCTATGCATACCTCAAGACCCATCTCAAATGTCCCCTCATCCAGAAGCGTTTTCTATAAATGTTCTAAACAGAATCTACTCCTGTTTTGGACTCCTGGGCCCTCCTACTACTTCTGCTTTAGCCTTTCTTACTCTTATTGTGACTGACTTTCAGTCTCCCCCCGTGGATGGGGAATTCTTCTGGGCAGGGGTAGCTGGGTCTGAATTCCGCCAAAAGTAACTTCAGTCCCCTGTAGTAACAAAGACTCACAGTACTCACAACATCAACCCCACTTTGAGGCAGTGGGCCCACTGGAATGACTCATTTCCTTAGACTCCAGTCTCCACATCCCAGAAATGGGATGCCACCAGCCCACACCTTGCTCCTGACCACCACTGCCACCGTTACTCTCCTCCCAGCTCTCAGAGTGGCGGCGGCGCCAGGAGGAGGAAGCAGGGGCCCTGGAGGCAGGAGAGGAGGCACGGCGACGGGCAGCCCGTGAGGCTGAGGCTCTGACCCAGCGTCTGGTAGAGAAGACGGAGACAGTGGAGCGGCTGGACCGGGGCCGCCGCCGGCTGCAGCAGGAACTGGATGATGCAATCATGGATCTGGAGCAACAGCGGCAACTCGTGAGCACGCTGGAGAAGAAGCAGCGCAAATTCGACCAGGTGGGAAACCAGCTGCTCATCTATGTTTCTGGTGGTCGTTGTGAGGAATTGGGAATATGCAAGAAGCATCTTCACATTGATCATCTCTAAAATGAGATGAGATTACTAGGGTACCCATCCAGCCCATTGTTCCAGCATAACTATTAGTAGCACTCCCTTTTACTCAGTTAATATAATAACTGAACATTTTGATCAAAAATTATCTTAAGGATTCTGATCAAAAGGGGGGACATGTGGAACAGAATTTCAAATTCTCATGGAATCTAGACTTTCTGGAGTCATGGAGGCTGGATCAACATTCCCAAAACTATTGACCTAAATCATCTTTAAGTCTTAAAGCCAAAATATCCCAAACAATAGTTTAGCTTCATTCGTAAAGAATGTCTGCCTTGTGCAGCTAAGAAGACCCTGTGGGGCAGTTGTTCTCTGTCTCATGGGGTCATCCCAAGTCATAATCAACAGCAAAAGAATGAGAGACCCATCAGTCTGATGCAGTGAGGAGCGGGATGGTTTGAGGCAGGGTTGCAACTTTCATCCCTCTACCTTCGTCCTGTGCTTCTGCCTGTCTGTCTGTCCATCTCTCTGTGTCTCTGGCTGCTCCTTTCTCCCTGCCCCCTCGTACACTCCTTTCAGCTAACCTATATTCCTTCATCCCATCTCCCTCAACTCACAAGCTCCTGGCGGAGGAGAAGGCAGCAGTACTGCGGGCGGTGGAGGAACGTGAGCGTGTCGAGGCAGAGGGCCGGGAGCGTGAGGCTCGGGCCCTGGCACTGACACAGGCCCTGGAGGAGGAGCAGGAAGCGCGTGAGGAGATGGAACGGCAGAACCGGGCCCTGCGGGCTGAGATGGAGGCACTGCTTAGCAACAAGGATGACGTCGGCAAGAGCGTGAGTGACCCGTTGAGTCGAGCTCAACTATCAGTTCGTAGGATGGTGTGCGAACCCCCTGCTACTGGCACCTCAGAACTCATGGCTTTGAGAAGTCTGTGGAGCGGTTCTACTCTGCACACATCAGGGTTGCCATGAGTCGAAATCAAAACAGGAACGTGAATTGGGGCAACTGCTCCCCCAGACACGCATATGTACACCCAGGGTGCTGAGAGATGCCTACAGAACGTGAAGGGTGCCACCAAAGTCAGGGGTTCACACAGACAGCAAAGCACGAGGAGAGTTGCTCGCCAAACACGTTGAATTCACGTACATGTGCAAAGAGGGTGAGGAGAAGCCCCTTGCACCCGCCACATATGTTCATGCAGACACGGAACATGAGCACTCCTCAGCAATCCTACGCGTTCATGTACACAAAACACGAAGAGAATTTTTCATCAGACACACACGTGCCCTCACCTCCCTGGGAAGCCTGGGAACCTCCACGCTGAGAAAATAAAAGGGGAAGTAAATACTTAGGAGCTGATGAAACGAAACCCTGGTGGCACAATGGGTTAAGTGTTAGGCTGGTAGCCACAGGGTCAGCGGTTCATGCCTACCAGCTGTTCCATGGCAGAAAGATGAGGCTAGCTGCTTCCATAAAGATGTATCATTTCAGAAACCCTAGGGAGCAGTTGAACTCTGTCCCATAGCGTCACCAAGAGTTGCAATTGGCTCAGGCAGCGGGTTTGGGCTTGTTTTGTTGTGTGGAGTTTGTTGTGTAGAGTCTTGCCTGTGAACCAGCCATGGTGAGTGCTGGAACTGTATGCCTTCCACCCACTTCACACAGCATTCTTGAAGTGAGCTCACAATCACAAAATGACAAAGCCTGTGAGGAGAAGATCCACCATGAGTGAGAGTCAGCTGGTCTAAGGAACACTTGAATTTGGATCATCAACAGCTTCAGATAATACAATCCTCATACACCGATACACATAGTTACATAGATGCTTAGTAGGTGTTAAATGAATAAATGGATGAATGAATGAACCAGATGAGCACAGCCGCTGTTGTCTTCCCCCTCCTCCCATCGGTGGAGGATCTCAGTGCTCACTCTCCCTCCTCCCGACCAGGTGCATGAACTGGAACGAGCCTGCCGCGTGGCAGAACAGACAGCCAGCGACCTCCGAACGCAGGTGACAGAGCTGGAGGATGAGTTGACGGCCGCTGAGGACGCCAAGCTACGCCTAGAGGTGACCGTGCAGGCTCTGAAGGCACAGCACGAGCGGGACCTGCAGGGCCGAGATGAGTCTGGTGAAGAGAGACGCCGGCAGCTGGCCAAGCAGGTACAAGAAGTGGGGAGGCTAGGGAAGGGCCTGAGGTCTCATCCAGCCACCTGCTACTCCACCATCTAAACTTCTCCTGTTCTTCTCACATTGAGCTACCATGTTCCCACACATCTCCTCTGCCCACCCAGTCACCCGCCTACTGACCTACCCAGTCACACATCATCCGTCCACCAACCCATTCCTCCACCAGCTACCTCCTCATCAACCCACCCGCCTTCCCACCACCTGTGGTTTCTTCCCAACTCACTTGTGCCCCATCCACCTGCCAGCTAATTCTGCAGCCAACCCAGTTACTCACTCTGTGTCTTTAACCACCTCATCCAGCCCCCGATAACCAGTCTCTTCACCAACTGATGCTTACACCATCCGGCCCACTGTGAATCCAGCCACTTCCTTCCTCATCGATTCAACCATCTCAGCCACCCAGCCACCCATTCTGCAGTCTCTCAACTCAATCCACACCGCATCAGACCCTGTATCCGGCCACTCCTCCCTCCACCCAACTGCCTCCCGTTCTCTCAGCCACTCATTTCACATCTTCTCTCCCAGCTCACACTTACCCCCAGCCGTCCACCAACCAAGCCTGCTTCTGATCACACCTCCATCCATCCAACTACCCATCTCCTTCTGCATCTGCTCAGCTGCCCTGACCACTCCAGTCCCGTTCACCCACTGCATAGCCTAAACCCACACTGCACCCTACCCTGAAGGCAGCAGCCAACCTGTTCACTCAGCTCTGCAAGCTCACTACTCCCCTCAGTACCCACGCCTCCAGAACCTCCAGACCAAACTCCACCTCCTTCTGTAAGCAGGCCCTCCACACCCTCTCCATCCAACCTCCTCTCCCCAACCCAGCTACACACCTCCATGCCCCCAGCCCCACTCTACTACTCCTGTCCTGTCCCCTCTTCCCTACTCGGTCATTCCCCCACTTCCTCACTTGTTCCAGCTTCCTGTCCCGCCCCACGCTGTTCTCCCTCCCATTGTTCATTCATGAGGGGGTGGATGTGTCTGCAGTGGACAGGGCCCTCTAGGAGGTGATGAGTCTGAACGTGGAAGGGGCAGGGACAGCTCTGAGAGCCAGAAAGATCCTCTGGGGCCACTTGGGCAACAGATGGAAGTGGGTGAGACTGGAAGCTGAAAGGTCAGAGAGGGGGAAGGAAACATGACCGGGGGTCCCTAAGTTTGTCATCCCCGCCCCCCGTCCCCGCCGAGTCCTATTGACACAGTCATGGCTGTGTGTCCCAGACTTTGTCCTAGGGGAGGCTCAGGGTCAGCTCTGTGTGTACAAGGTCCCTCTGGAACTTTGTGAGAAATGGGATGGGGTAAGAGGGAGAGACTGAGAGGTAGCCGGTACCTCCTGTCCCCTGACCTGACCCCTGCCGGCCTTCTGCCCCAGCTGAGGGACGCCGAGGTGGAGAGGGATGAAGAGCGGAGGCAGAGGGCCCTGGCTGTGGCCGCCCGCAAGAAGCTGGAAGGGGAGCTGGAGGAGCTGAAGGCTCAGATGGCAGCCGCCGGGCAGGGCAAAGAGGAGGCGGTGAAGCAGCTTCGCAAGACGCAGGTGAGGACGGGATGGGGCTTGGGTCAGGCTGGGGAGGGGAGGCCCTGATTATCACTGGAGCCCCTAACATCCCTCCAAGGCCTGACCCCATGAATAGCCCCCAAATCCATCAGCATCTTTATAAACATCCATGCTGGGCTCCTAATCTCAGCAGGTCCTGACCATCTGCTTCCTCAAAGGTGGCAGGGGGTGGGGAGGCTTTCCATTGTCAGCGAGATGATTCTGACACACGACAGACAACCGTGTGTGCAGAGAGAACAGCGGTGACTTAACTTCTGAGGTGCCTCTGAGTGAGTCTGAACCACCAACCTTTCAGTTAATAGCACCTACCGATTCTCACCACTCAGGACCCCTCCTCAAAAGATGACATCCCAGGCAACCTGGCAGAACGGCTCTCCTCTGACACATGTGCCTTCAGCCGGGGTCACAGTCACCTCGCTGGCACGGGGTCTGGTTTTCATTGGTGAACATCCATGATCACTCCCGTGCCATGTGGCTCTTTTCCATTGTATTTGCCAGGCGATGCTTCATTTTTAAATCCTCGTTTTATTTTATTTTGGAAATGGGAATGCTTGAGTAGTTGTTTTCCAGACTCTGAAAGTTGAAGCTGGTGTTGGTTTAAAAAACAAAAAATATCTAGAACCCCTCTGCCCAAAAAGGTGATGGCTGTTGTCAGTGTCATTGAGTCAGTTCCAACTCATAGCAACCCTGTATAGCGTTTCCAGTGAGTAGCTGGTGAGCTTGAACCACTGACCTTATAGTCCGATGCTTATCCTTCAGTGCCCAACAAGGTGGCCATCAGTAAGCATGTGGTTCTTCAAGATGTGAAATCTGACTGGTCTGGATGGAGATGACCTGTGCAGACAGTTAAGTGCTTGAAAAGTCACTTTAAATCCACCCAGAGGCACCTCAGAGAAAAGGCCTGGCAACCTACGTGAAAAAAATCATCCACTGAAAACCCTATGGCACAGTCCCTACAAATCAGCCACTTAAAACCCTATGAACAGTTCCTAGATGGGGTCAGCACGAGTCAGAGTCTGTCTGTTGCATGGCAATTGGTTTGTCTGGTTTTGCTATTGCTGAGTTGTGTTTTGGGGTTTTTCAAAATTTTGTGCTCAAGGTGAGAGTTCACACAGCAAATGAGGTCCCGATTTAACAACAACAACCCAGATTATTCAGTGACATTGGTTGCATTATTCATAATAATGTGTCCATCTTCATTCTGCTCAATATTCTAGTTTCCCTGACCCTCACCTCCTCGTTCTGACTAGGGAGCCATTGGTTAGCACTTTGGTCACTTATAGCTGATTTGAACTGACTCTACAGCACTTAACAACAACAACGTAGTTGATAGATAGATAGATAGATAGATAGATAGATAGATAGATAGATAGATAGATAGATAGACAGATAGATGATAGACAGACAGACAGACAGATAGATTAGATAGATGATAGATAGATAGACAGACAGACAGACAGACAGATGATAGATAGATAGATAGTAGATAGATAGATAGATAGATAGATAGATAGATAGATAGATAGATAGATTAGATAGATAGAAAGAAAAAGAGAGAGCGAGAGAGAGGGGGGAGAGGGAGGAGAGTCCGACGTGGCACTGTAAGATAAACATTAGACTGCTAGCCTCAGGTTAGTGGTTAACACCCACCAGCGGCCCCTCAGAAACCCTATTCAGGGTCACTGTGAGTCGGAACTGATTTGATGGCACTTACCAACAACAGTCCTGGTGTGGCGCTGTGGGTTAATGCGCCAGACTGCAAAATTGTTTGAACTGCAAGGTTGGCGGTTCAAGCTCACCAGCTGCTCCTTGGAAACCCTACACAGGGTCGCTATGGGTCATAATTGACTCAATGGCACTTAACAACAACAACCAACAACAAGGAGCTCTGGTAGCGTAGTGGTTACAAATCGGGCTGCGAACCTTAAGGTCAGCAGTTCGAAACTACCAGCTGCTCCACGGGAAAAAGATGAGGCTCTCTGCTCCCGTAAAGATTTACAGCCTTAGAACCCCTGTACAGGGTTGCTATGAATCGGAACCAACTCCACGGCACATAACCACCACCACCAACAACAACAACAACATAGTTGATTTAAGGAGCCCCGGTGACGCTGTAGGCTAAGCACTGGAATGCTAGCCATAAAGTCTGTGGTTCAAACCCATCAGCAGCTTCATGGGACAAAGATAAGGCTTTCTGCTTCCATCAACATTTACAGTCTCAGAAATGTGGATTAAAACTCAGAATTTTAAAGGAAAGGAAAAAAGAAAGACTGGGCTTACTGGTTAGAAAGAGACTGACTATAAAAAACCCACGACTGTGGACCTCGATCACCCTTCAGGTCTGGAAAAAGGATCTTACCTCTTGGGACCTAATTTTCATCCATGCAGTATATAGGTATGTAAGGGACAACACTAGTGAGGTGGGCTTACCATGGAATGGTCAGTCATTCAGGATCAAAAGGGCAACATTTGCTAAAGGGTGAAGTTGAAAACGGTTGGGAAGGAGCAGGAAGGGAAATAACCCCAGGGAGGAAGCGGGATCCCTGTTGTTACATGGAGGGGATTGCAATCATTGAGATGAAACAAAGTGTCTGATTTGCTGAACATAAAACTGATCATCTGTTCTATAAACCTTCACTCAATTCACAATAAATAGTAAAAAAAAAAAAAAAAAAAAGATTTACAAAGACCTTACTGCAAACAAGAAGAGGTGGAATATCTCATTACTAAAAATTAGGCAAGGTGTGCACCAGGGTTGTTGTATTCTTTCACCATACTTATTCAGTCTGTTTGCTGAACAATTAATCAGAGAAGCTGGATTTTTATGAAGAAACACGTGGCATCAGGAATGGAGGAAGGCTCATTAACAACTTGTGGTATACAGGTAATACAACCTTGCTTGCTGAAAGCCTAAAGGACTTAAAATACTTAATTGATGAAGATCAAAGACCACAGCTTTCGGTATGAGTTGCACCGCCAATGTAAAGAAAACAAAAATCCTCACCACTGGATCAATAAATAACATCAAGATAATTGAGAAAAGATTGAAATTGTCAGTGATTTCATTTTACTTGGATCAACCATTAACACTCATGGAAGCAGCAGTTTAGAAATCAAACGATGTATTGCATTAGGCAAATCTGCTGCACAAGACCTCTTTAAAGTGTTGAAGAGCAAAGACGTCAGTCTGAGAACTAAAGTGCACCTGACCCAAGCCATGGTATTTTCAATAACCTCAGATGCATGTGAAAGTTGTATCATAAATAAGGAAGACCGTAGAAGAATAGATGCTTTTGAGTTATGGTGTTGGAGGAGAATATTAAAAGTGCCATGGGCTGCCAAAAGAACCAACAGATCAGTGTTGGATGAAATGCAAGCAGAGTGCTCCTTGGAGGCCAGGATGCCTAAGCTTCGTCTCTCATACTTCAGACATATTGTCAGGAGGGATCAGTCACTGGAGGATATCATGTTTGGTAAGGTGGAGGGTCAGAGAAAAAGAGGAAGACCCCCAACGAGATGGATTGGCACAGTGGCAGCATCAGTGGGCTCAAACATAACAATTGTGAGGTTGGCACAGGATCGGGCAGTGTTTTGTCCTGTTGTGCATAGATAGGGTCACTATGAGTCGGTACTGACTTGATGGCACCTATCAACAACAACAACAATTTTTATATTATAAAGTAAGAATATTTTGTTAGGCTCAATATAGATTTCAAATGAGCTTCATGTGTCATTTTGGCTGGTTGGTTTTGCTCTTTTCATGTTATTGCTAGGCGCCGTGGAGCCAATTCTGACTCACAGCAGCCCCATGGAACCGGGTAGAAATGCCCCACAGGGTTTTCTTGACTCATCTTTCCAGGGGCAGACTTCCAGGCGTTTCCGCTGAGAAGCCGCTGGGTGGGTTTAAACTGCCAGCCTCATGATTAGCAGCCGGATGCTTAACTGTTTTATCTACCAGAGTTCTTTTTCATGTGTCATTGTTTTTATTAAAGTACCATCGAGTCAGCTCACATTCATGACAACCCTGTATAGGGTTTCCAAGCAGCGGCTAGTGGGTTTGAACCAGCGACCTTGCGGTTAGCAGTCTAGGGCTTATCCTACAGTGCCATGCCAGAATGTGACCACTAGAAAATTTTAAACAGCACACGGTGGTGACAGTTATGTGCAGTGGAGTCGATTCCGACTTATAATGACCCTGTATAGGATTTTCTGAGGCTGTTCATCTTAACATGAGTAGAAAGCTGGTAGATTCAAACTGCTGACTTTTCGGTTAGCAGCTTAGCTCGTAATTCACTACACTACCAGAGCTCCTTAAACTGCACGTAGCCCTTGTTATATTTCTATTGGGCAGCAGTGGTTTAGGAAGACAATCCCCCACCCCAAGTAAAAATCGCCAGTCTGCCCCCATAAGGAAAAATCCCTGTACTTCAAAATTGTATCAAGCAAACAATGGACAATAAACAAGATTGTAGATAAACGGATGAACGATAGTTACACCAACAGGGAGTTGTTGTCAGGTGCCATCGAGTCGGAACCGACTCATAGTGACCCCATGCACAGCACAACGAAATAATGTCCGATCCTGGGTCAACCTCACTACCGCCGCCACACTTGACGCCATCAATGATACCACCTGGCTGATCCATCTCGTTGGGGGTCTTCCTCTTTTTCTCTGACCCTCCATCTTACCCAGCATGACATCCTTCTCTAGCGACTGTTCCCTCCTGACAATATGTCCAAAGTATGAGAGACGGAGCTTAGCCATCTTAGCCTCAAAGGATCACTCTGACTGCACTTCTTCCAACACAGATCTATTGGTTCTTTTGGCAGTCCATGGCACTTTTAGTATTCTCCTCCAACAGGGAGTAGCAAAGTGATTAAGTCTGTGGAGTTAAATTCATTCCCCAGCTGCGGGTCCTTTGACCCATGGCTTCGTTTCGCTGCCTCAGTTTCCCATCTGTAAGTTGAGGGTGATCAAAGTGCTTATACTCCCTGGAGTTGTTCCTGGGACCTGGGGGCTGTTGCAAAGGTGGGGAGCTCCTCCTGTGAGGCTAAACACACTCCCTCACCCCCTGTCCCTCCACCCAGGCCCAGATGAAGGAGCTGTGGCGGGAGATGGAGGAGACACGCTCTGCTCGGGAGGATATTTTCGCCCAGAACCATGAAAGCATGAAGCGTCTGAAAGGGCTGGAGGCTGAGGTGTTGCGGCTACAGGAGGTGAGGCGGGGAGGTGGGGGGACCCACTTCATGCTGCCTCCAATACTATATGAGGGATAGGGTGGTGGGTGGGGGCAACCACACGCAGCCTCCAGTGCCAATCTGGGATCTATGTCCCGGGAGTACTAGGGAGCCATGGAAGTTCTATGAGCAAGGTAGAAACAGGGTCAGTTCTGAGAACATGTGGGGATTGGACTAAAGGGTGTTACAGGAGGTGGGAGGAAGTTTAGATGAGGGTCTCTAGGGGATAGGATGAGGCCTAAGCCAGGGCTGTGGGGACACAGAGCAGGGGACCAGGCTGAGTGACCAGGTGGTGCTGTCCCTAAGAAGGAGAAGCTGTTGGAGGAGTGGCTGAGCTAAGTGGGCTGTGATGAGGGTGAGGGGCCTGGGCGTTGGGCAGTAGGAGGTAGACACAGGTCAGGGGCTCTGAAGAGAGATTTGAAGACATCTGCCTATTGATCCAAGCTCAGCCCCAGATTTGAAGCAGAAACAGCTCATGAGTAATCGGTAGAGAAGGCCAAGAAATGGGGGTGGGGTGGATGAGACGAGATGGTGCCTGAACATCCCCCAACCCACACCACACTGACTGCCTAGTCTCTCTTCTGTTGCAGGAACTCGCTGCCTCCGACCGAGCCCGGCGTCAGGCCCAGCAGGAACGGGATGAGATGGCAGACGAGGTGGCCAGTGGCAACCTTAGCAAGTGAGTGTCCCCTGGTAATGTGGGCCGGGCATTCCCCTCTGGCCATCCTGCCTGCTCACCCCACCCTTTTCCTCTCCTCCTAGGGCAGCCATTCTGGAGGAGAAACGCCAGCTGGAGGGACGCCTGGGGCAGATGGAAGAGGAACTGGATGAAGAGCAAAGCAACTCAGAGTTACTCAATGACCGCTACAACAAGCTGCTCCTACAGGTGTGTATGGGCTGGCCGCCCCCTGCCCACCTGGGACCATAGCCCTCAGTCCTTATTCAATAGACACAAAAGGGATATTTGGGTAGGGTTTTGAAGGTTGAATAGGAGTTTTTAAAAGCAAGGAAAGAGGCATGATGCACACCTTCATTTGTCTTTCTGAAACTTCTCAAGGGCCAGATCCAGAAATGGATTACAAGGTATCTCTACAGACAATTATGTGTGCACCATGGAATTCCCTAGGGGTGGGGGTCACACATGAGACTGTATTGTCACATTTTGTTGTTAGTTGTCATTGGCTTATTCTGCCTCAGGTGTACAGAGTAGAATTGATCAAAGTGTAGTAATGGAAGCACCCTGGGCCCAGGAGAGGAAGAGAGAAAGAGAGGCACCCATGTAGAGGGATGAGAGGATTCTTCCTAGAGGGGTCATAAAAGCCATTTGGAAAATGGGTATTTGGGGTTTTTAAGTATCTGTAGGAGTTCAGCAGAGGGGAGGAAGGAGAAAAAGCATGTTTTCATTTGCATACTTATTTGTGAGACTTCTTGAGGCCCAGATCTCTACTGGGTGATTCTGGGACCTGGAGACGTAGCGTTCTAGTTCGCTGAAATCAAGAACATCCTAATGTGATAAGGGAGACAGACAAGAGAAACTGGACGAAGCACAAAGCCCTTTGGGAGCACAGAAGGGACTGCTATCAAGGAGGGCTTCTCGGTTGAAGTGATGTTTGCTGAGCCTCCCACAGAGGGACCAGTGCTTACCCAGAGAGAAACCTGTGTCTGTCATTTTACTAATGTTGTCAGGGACATCTTTTGAGATTAATACCTCAAGTGCACACCCTGAGACTGCCAGGGTCTTTCCAGAGCAGAGACACCTGGTCTTAGCACTGGAGGAGCCCCTGGACCAGAGGGAGCGGAGGTGTCATAATCCAAGATGAAGCTGCTCCCCTCAGTGTGGAAGACCCCTCTCACCTACAGGGACCACATTCTGACCCCTGGCTAGCTCCCCAATCCACACTCAGCCCTCCCCTCTAGCTCACTCTGCTTTGGGCACACCAGCCTCCTCCTCACTGTTCCCTGAAGCCCGTCCACTTGCTGTTCCGCCTTCTAGAACACACGTCCCGCAGCCCAACCCTAACTTCTTCCCTGTCCCCACCCTGTTAAGGCACCTGCTCTCTCTGCTGTGCTTTGTCTCCCTCCTCTTACCACCACCCCTGCCATCATTTACTGCTACCTGGCATTTTAATTAAGAAATCCTGGTGGCACCATGGGTTAAGCATTGGGTTGCTAGCCTCAAGGTTGGTGGTTCAAGCCCTCCAGCCCTCAGGGAGAACTATACGGCTGTCTGCTGCCGTAAACTCTAAGGAGTAGTTCTGCTCTGTCCCACAGGGTCGTTGGCTGGGGGTCAGAATCCACAGTGGGTTTGGTTTTCAGTTTGGTGGTCTAGTGTATGTTTGGAGTTCCTGAATGGTGAATGTACTGGCTGCGAATTGAAAGGTTGACTGTTCGAGTCCACTCAGAGGCATCTTGAAGGAAAGAGTGGCTTGGCCGTTTCTAAAAAACACACCATATGGAGCACAGGTCTACTCTGACACACCCAGGGTCAGGCATGAGTCAGAACTGATTTCAAAGGCAACTGATTAACTGGCATAGTTTAACCTTCCCCGCTTAAAAAATCACATACAGGTGTGCACTATACAACAATCACATACAACTGCACTATACAGCAAAAATCACATACAGGTGTGCACTGCATGACGTGGGTTTGGGACAACAACGTCCGAGCGCAGATACTTCTCTGGAGCAGGAAGGAGGAGCTTGTTTGGAAGGGCACCAGGAGGCAGGGCCAGCCTTGAGTTTGCTACACTGTGGTGGTCAGTGCTCAGTTCCCATGACTCCTGCAGCCAAACTTGCAGCCCCAATCCCTGGCATATGCACCACCTGGCCAACCTGCAGAACCGATGGCAGCCACTCCACTGCACTCCATCCCTCGGGGCTTCCGATACCCACCAGACTCCCTAAGGCTAATCTGAGAGCACAGTGTGCCCAGAGGCAGCCAGTTGTAGGCACAGCTTTGTAAACTGAGCTTCTGTTGTTAACAGAGAGACGGAGCAGCTTGCACAGGGGTTACTTTGATATGTATGTATCAAATAGAGAGACAGACATACCTAGAGACATATCAGAACGTCCTCTTTCACAGAACGTGCTGTGGACATTAAGCCCCACAGACCTGTATGTCTTTTGAGTCTCTGTGAAGTCCACAGTTCTTCCCCCTCCCCTTCATTTGTGTTCATTATGTCTGTTAAGAGCCCGGGCCACTGGACCTGTCTCGTTTCTCTCCATCTGGATTTCCCCAAGTATGTCTCATGTGTAACCCTGTCCTTTGTACAAATCATTCCATATGTTTTCACTGTCTGCACCGCCGTTAGTTGGCAACTCGTGGTGAGCCCATGGGTGCGGCGTACAATTGCTCCTTAGAGTTTTCAACTCTGTGACTTTTCAGGAACAAAATCAGCCTCTCTTCTGAAGCCCCTCTGGGTTGGTCCAAACCACCAACCACTTGCTATGAGTAGAGTACCTCACCGTCTGCACTACCTCGGGGCTCCATCCCACCATCTGCAGGGATGCTGTTTTGTACTTTATTCTCTCTCTCTTTCTACGCCTCTGTTTTATTTTACAATAAAAAGAAAAAGATAGGCTAATCACTCCTTGAATGTGTTCCTGTGAGGATAAAAGGAAATGAAGTATGAATCAGACTGGGTCTGACTCATTTCCGTGTCCCCAGCACGGGGCCTCGCTCAGAGTACGGCAAGCGGAATAAATAAACAGGAGACTATTGTTAGGAGCGGATTTACACATTCTCAATGTAGTAGCCACTGTGTATGGAGCTAAGGTTTCTCAAAATGATCTGCATACCACTGGTATTGGAGCCACCGGTATAAAAATGCGGATTCATGAGCCCTGCTCCTGACCTGCTGAATCAGAAGCTCTGGTGGGTGGGACCAGAGAGTGTGCGTTTTTGTCACAAGCTCCCCAGATGATCTGGGTGCAAACCAAAGTGTGATAACCCTTGAGTAGACTCATTCACAGTCAGAATTTATAGCCTTTAAACAAGTTTGTGATAGTCTTGTGAATTTATTAAAATAGGCAGGAAAGGGGGAAAAAAAGATCCAGAAGGTTAAACCCCAGGGCTGTCGGTGATGATAAGTCCATCACTGCAAAGATAAGTTGGCAGTTGATGAATGTTTGGTGTCCATCAATTAATTCTCTGTATTTAACAATCATCAACTTATCTAATTCTGGGAGGTGCCGGGATTGAACCTGCTGCCTTCCCCCTGAACTCCACAACGCCTCCTGCCTTTCCTACCTGTGACAGGTAGAGTCGCTGACCACGGAGTTGTCAGCTGAGCGCAGTTTCTCAGCCAAGGCTGAGAGTGGGCGGCAGCAGCTGGAGCGACAGATTCAGGAGCTGCGGGGGCGTCTGGGTGAGGAGGACGCTGGAACCCGAGCCCGTCAGAAGATGCTCATTGCTGCCCTCGAATCGAAGCTGACCCAGGCTGAGGAACAGCTAGAGCAGGAGAGCAGGTAGGTGGGAGAAGAACAACATTCGAAGCCCTAGGTGTAGAAACATCGAAAAGGTATCATGATATTAATGTTAGCTGACTTCCTCTACCATTTAGGCATCTAGGGTTCTGCATGTCTTTCTGCAGAGACCCTGTTGTCTCCATTGCCTCTCACAGATTATGGAGTGAGGAAGAGTTAAAGACGTGGGTTGGGTTGGTTAAGACACTTCATCTTTATACATGGCATAGTACCTTTGAGGAGTCCTGGTGTGGTGCTGTGGGTCAGTACACAGGACTGCAAAGTCGATTAGAACCACAAGCTCAGTGGTTCAAGCTCACCAGCTGCTCCTCAGAAACCCTATACAGGATTACTATGGGTCGGAACCAACTCGATGGCACTTAACAACAACAACAGTACCTTTGAGCTGCAAGTAATCATATCACCACTACAAATCTGATTGAAACAAATGTATGTTGGCTATAGCTGTATAAGAAAAACCATCCTAAAATTTAGTGGCTTTATTATTAATCAGCCACGCTTTATTATTGCTCATGAGTCTCTGGGCTTGTGGGTAGGTTCTGCTGACCTGAGCTTGGTGAGGCTCATGATGGGTCTTTGTGATCACCTAGATAGAGTTGCTGATCTGAGCTAGACTCTCATCCGTCCAAGGCCTTGCCAGGGACATCCAGGTCACGGCGCCATGTGACTGCTCATCCTTTAGCTGGCTAGCCCAGATTGTTCCCATGGCAGATTATGTAGCGTTCCTCTGTGAGTGAGGACAATGGAAGAGGCTTCACGAGATCTCACTTCAGAAGTGATGTCTTGTCACTGCTGCTGCCACCTACTTACTTAGTGAAACAAATCATGTGACCAGGTCAGATTCAAGGGATTGGAGACATAGATTCCACCTCATGGTGTGAGCAGTTGTAAAATCCCCCATGTATCACAAAACAGCATTTTCTTTTTCTCCCATGACAAGGTGTCCACAATTGGACAACTGAAAGATGTCAGGGCTCTGAGTCACTGTCTTTGCCATTCCCTTGGGTGCAGAATGGTTGCACTTTGTCCAAGCATTACACCCACACATAGCCATCTCCAAAACCTGGCGCAACGTGGGTCTGATCCTCAGAAAGCATCTGTGTCCATCAACATGAAGACAAGGATGTAGACACCCTGGAGAAGAAAGCCTGGGTACCAGTTCTGGCCTGAGTGGATTGTGGGAACTAGTCAGAGATGGGGAGGAGAGCTGAGGCCAGTTCATGTGCAGAGCAGCCACTGGACAATGCCGGGGTTGGGGGTCAGAACCCCAAGGGACCACCTCTCCTGATCTTGCGTTTCACCCCTCTTCAGGGAGCGTATCTTGTCAGGCAAGCTGGTGCGCAGAGCTGAGAAGCGGCTCAAAGAGGTGGTGCTCCAGGTGGAGGAAGAGCGGAGAGTGGCTGACCAGCTCCGGGACCAGGTAAGCAGCTGACATTATCAGGAGAGAAGCCATGGGAAAGTAGGATCGCTGACCAAGAAATAGCCTGGACATTCTCTGGAGATAGTAAACTCCTGCCCGTCGTAAGAGGCAGCAAATAGATGCCGGACTGTAACTAAGTGTAAATATTATCTTATGGTTTGGAGCATCAGCAGTAGGTGAGAAATGACTTTCCATTTCTGAAATTTAGAAAGGCAAAAGCCCTAGTTTGGAGTTGAGGCAGCCAGCATGAGGGTAGATGTTAAACCGCCCCACCCAGAGGCTAGACCTAGGCCTAAAATAACAGCAATATGAATATACAATGAATGCTGTGTACCAACTACTGCACTAAAGAATACTGTATAATTCATGTAACACTTTTACAACCCTGTAGGATAGGTACTTTTATTTTCCTTCTTATTCTGGTGAGGAAACTGAGGCACAGAGAGGTGAAATAACATTGCTCAAAATTATTTTACTAGTAAGGAGTGGAACCAGGGTTCAGTTCCAGCACTCTGGCCTCAAGAGTCTGTGTTGTTAATTATTTATTGAGCAGTTACTCTGTCCCAAGCATTGTGCTAGCTGCTTGTTAAAAATACGGCCGTAAATTATTAGAGTCCTTTTTCTCATCAGGATCATTTTATAAGTAAGAGGATGAAATTTTTAAAAGGAGATGTAATTTTCTCAAAGTGAGTAGGTGACAGAGCCTGGCTATCTGATTCCAGACAGAGGACCTGTGCCCTTAAAAGCTCAGCTATACCGTAAATGCCATGCATCCTATTGTTAGCGAGTACTCAGTGTATTCCAGGAGTGTTCTAGGATAAGACATACAGCTGTGAATGAGAAACAGGATGTCACTGCTTGAACGGAGCTCACGTTTTCAGCAAAAGAAAAGACACAGTGAACCCGTTTGTTTGTTTTAAAATGGGTAGGTTATGATAAAGGCTGTGAAGATCATTTTAAAAGTGTGTGAAGGGAGAAGCAGATGCAGAGGATTGAGGGATCATCTTTATACTGGGGGTGGGTGACCCAGGCCTAGGAAGACCCCTCTAACACCTGAAAGGTGAGAAAAATCCAGGCAGAGGGAAGAGCAAGTGCAGTGGCCTTAGGATACGGAAATAAACTTTGGTGAGTTTGGAGCAAAAAGCACACCTGAGCGACCAAAGAGAGTGAGGTGGAGTATTGAATGATAAGAAGTGAGGTCAGAAGTCTTATCATGCTTATCTGTCCTCCTGGAGAGAGATGGCCCAGTCTCAGGGAAGTTGTTCAGGTTGGTGCATTTATGAGGTGAAGATAATGGCCAAAAGTGAGACCTTGTTTTTCAGAGCCATAAAAGGGCTGTGAGTGGAGGAGAGGCAGGAGCAGCTCTGGGTGTAGAGAAACCCTCAGGCACCGGTTGAATTGAAACTCAAGACAGGAGAACAGATCCCTCCTTCTCCTGTGTCTCACACAGTGTGGTGGAGTCAGGAACAGCCAAAAACATGGGTCGGGTTGATTAAGTTGCATCATCCTGTATACAGCACATCACTCTAAAAACTAAGGTCTGAGTGGAGAGTAAAGAATGGGACAGAGTCAGGGTTCAGGAGGGACAGGGCAGGAAGATGGCCTGGATTCACTGGACCTCTCCCCTCCTCCTCTCAAGCTGGAGAAGGGGAACCTCCGGCTGAAACAGCTGAAGCGGCAGCTGGAGGAGGCTGAAGAGGAGGCCTCACGGGCTCAGGCAGGCCGCCGGAGGCTGCAGCGGGAGCTAGAAGACGTTACTGAGTCGGCTGAGTCTATGAACCGAGAAGTGACCACACTGAGGAACCGACTCCGGTATGGCTGCCCCACATAAACCCTGATAAGTGGGCAGCGCCCTCTCTCCATAAACCCAGGGATGCAAGAGGCTGCGGGCTCACAGGAGTGACATGGGGCAGCGGACAAGTGGGGTGTATTGCAGGAGAGCCAGAAATGAGGAGCTGTGTTTACCTCCATTCCATTTCTCTGTCCGTCTCCTCTTTCCCTGTGTGCCCCTGTCTCCATCCTGTCTCTCTGCCCTCCACTCTCTGTCCACATCTATCTCAGGCTGCCCCTTCATCCTAGTTCATCTCAGTTTCCTGGTCTTTCCTCCCACAGACGTGGCCCTCTCACGTTTACCACCCGCACCGTGCGACAGGTCTTCCGCCTGGAGGAGGGCGTGGCATCGGATGAAGAGGCTGAGGAGGTGGAGCCAGGGTCTGGGGCCCCGCCCCCAGAGCCGGATGGTCCAATGCAGGCGCCGCCCCATTGACCCCTGCCTTGTTAACTGGACAGGCCAGGGCCCCTCTTTTTCTCCTGGCTCTGTGGGCACATCTGGCCCTAAACCCAGCCCTCTGGCTTCTTGCACTTTGGAGCTGCTGTCACTCTCTGGCAGTGCAGCACATACTGCCCCCCACCCTGAGCCCTCTGAGACCCCCATCAACCGACCCCCAAGCCCAAAGGAGTGGGGCTGGCTGGTGAGGCAAGGACTGGGACTTTGTGCTTCCTGGGACACATCCATTGTTTCTGATATTAGGGAGGGCACCATGAGCTTCCCTGTCCCTCCCCCAGCACTGCACACTCCAGGTTCCCCAGCCCCCATAGCCTTCTGCATGTGTCTCCCTGGTGGTGCAGTGGTGGTCACGCACCTGGCCTGGCCACAGGTTGGAACCCACTCGTCACAAGACAAAAGACCTGACAGTGATCTGTTCCCATAGAGCTCACAGCCTAACAGTCTCTACGGGGCAGTTCTACTGTGCCCTTCAGGGTAGCTGTGAGTCAGAATCAGTTCAAAGGCAAATGGTCATATCTGGTGGTACAGGAGTTAAGCGCTGTAAATGGAAAGACTGGTGGCTTGAACCTACCCAGCACTCCAGGGAGAAAGGCCTGGCGCTCTCCTTCTGTAAACAGTACAGTCTAGGAATCCCGTGGGGCTGTTACATGTGGTCATTTTCACTGTGAGTCATTTTCAGCCCACCAGCAACCTCCCATTGTCCTCACCCCACTTCCTCGAGTTCCAGATCCCTGCTCCTCTCTGTTGCTCTTTCTTTGTTTGATCTCAGTTTCTAGGAGTCTCTCCCTCCCACTGCCTCCTGATGGCTCTCTCTTCTCTACTTACCCACTCTTCTTAACTCCTACTCCGTTTCCGTTGTTCCTATCCCTGAACTTCTTGGTGCAGCAGCTGATCCCCAGGCTCCATCATCCTGACACTAGCAAAGAGACAGGAGGAGGGGTCCCTCTTCCCTGCCCACCCTCTCTTCCTGTGTGATCAAGGGCAGGGTCACTGGGGCAGTCTCCCATGCCGTCCCATCCTCAGGCTCTGACAGAGAAATAAACGCCACCCCCAACTGGTCCCTTCAGCCTGCCTGTGATTGTTTTCAAAGCCTCTGGTTGTGGGGATGGTGGACTCGGTGCGTGGGAATTGGCTGCTAGTGCTTACCCACCCAGCTCCTCCAGTGTATGAGACCACCTGTGCACCAGGTGCTTGCTGTGAAATAACCATCCGTGTTTGCATAAAGCACACCTACATAACACACATTAGGAAACATACTTGAGGGAGGAGTGCAGATTGGGGGAAAAGAAAAAAATCCACAAACGTATGACATGCATGGTTTGCTTGAACGTATGGTATAAGAGCCCAGTTTCCCAGGAACTCCCTCCAATTTATAGACTAGGAAACAGGCTGGAGCAGCAAGGCTGGGCAGTGCTGCACCTTTGCAACGAAACAGCATAATCGTGCCTGTCTGTTGAGAATACCTGTGCTCAACTCATGGGGGTGGGCATGTTCCAGCCCTCCCTACAACCCCATGAGGTTGAGGGCATTGCTTTCCACTGCCGTGTCATTTCAGAATAGTCAAAATGGGTCCAGAGAAGTTGAGTGACCTGCCTAAGAACACAACAGCTCCTGAAAATGGGAACAGGGTTTGAACCCAGGGATGTTTCAGCTAGACAGACTTGATCACCTGAGAGAGGAGACTAAGGTAGAGAGAGATGATATAATGTGCCCAGAATTGTTTAGCTGGTAACCTTGGAGAGCTGTGGTTGGGTTCTCAGCTGCTGACAGGCTGGTGTGGGTTAATGCGCTGGACTGCAAGGTTAGCAGTTCAAGCTCACCATCCGCTCCTTGGAAACGCTATATAGAGTCGCTATGGGTCGGAACCAACTCGATAGCACTGATGGACTGGAGGTTCAAACCATCCAGTGGCCTTGATTAAGGAAAGATCTAGAGATCTACTTCCACAAAGATTTCAAAAGTTAGAAACCCTATGGGACAGTTGTACTCTGTCCCATGGGGTTTCTGAATTGGAGCCTGTGTGATGAGATAGAATTAGGGTTAAAACTCGAGCCCTCAGTCCCTGAACAAGCCCCGGGGCCCCAGGTCTGCTCCTCAAATGAAGAATTTGTAATCTCAGAGTTATCAGTATCTGTACCGTCAGAGTAACTGAGGCAACTATCCGGGCGATGTCTGAATGACCAATGTCCACATGTAAGACCTGCCCCCTCGGTCCACTCCCAAACTCCCAGTCCCAATCCGAAACCCTTCCCTGAAGACACAGTCACCTTTAAATGAAAAGGAAACTTTTTATTTTGGTGAGGAGTGAGAGGGCGGGTGGGGCAGGGGCATGACACTTTTTCTTTGGGGAGGGGTGATGACATGCGGTAGCTTCTGCATTGGGCGATTCATGCACCCAAGGTGGGCGTGGGGAAGGCTTGGGGGAGGGCACATCATGACCCCTCCCTCCTGCCCTGGGGTGGGCTGAGAAGACCCGCCGTTAGCACCAGAGTTGGACGATTTGCAGACCTCCCTTCCCCACACTGACTCCGGACCCCCGCCCCCATCCCTGAGAGCGCCCCCTTGCCACTCCCCCCCACAACGACAGGCCAGGCCCGCCCCGCCCACTTTCGAGTGAGAGAAACTTATTGCTGTTTGTGTTGGGAAGTGGGAGCCGCTGAGCTCTGGAAGACCCCCTCCCCAATTCATTCTTCCCCAATCGCCCCGCTCCCAGCCCCGTATCCGTGCGTTCCCGGAGCGCAGGAGGGGCGCGACATGCGTGTGGGGGCGCGTCATGCAGCGCATGCGTGTAGTTGCGGGCACCCTGGCGGCCGGGGGTAAAAGGGGAGCGGGACTTTGAGGTTGTCCCTTTAACTTTCTCTCCCTCCCCGAATCCCACACTGTTGACTTGGGGGCGGAGATTCACTTTTTGGACGTTTATAATGACGGTGGTTATTTTTAAAAAGCTGAACTAAAAAGCTGGGTAAATGGCAGGTTGGCGAGCAGCGGGGAGACTTTGGGAAGAGGTCAGTACCCTTTGGAAAAGACCCTCACTCCCCTCTCCCCGCCCCGTTCGGCTTTCGTGAGGGTCTGGGGAAGCTGGGGGCTTTTGAATAAATTGAACCCTTTGGCAATAGAATCAGTCCCACCCACCCATACCCTGATGCCCCTAGCCCTTTGCCCCGCCCCCTCCCCGCTCCCACCCGAACCCGCCCCCCCTCACCCCTTATTCACCAGGGCTTAGGGTCCGGGGGAAGGATGGGGGCGCTCAAAATGCCCCTTGCATAGGAATCGTTGTATCAAGAATCGTGGCCAGTGACACCCACAGCCCTCTAGGATAGGGGTTCCTGAGGCCAGGGAGCAGGGGGAAAGAGGTTGCTAATTCTGTGGCCCCCAGCTCCAAAAGGGGGGCCTCGCTAAGGATTCTGGGACCGATGTGGTCTCTGGGCTTGGGGGAGGTAGCGCATCCGTGAGCCAGGAAGGGAGACGAGACGTGAGAAATGGTTTTCCACCCGCGCGAGAGCGGCAGAGGGGAAAAGGGAAAAGGGAAAAGGTGGGCTGGGGTTATCAGCCAGGTGCGGGTCATCTGATATGTTCTTACATTCCGGTACAGCCTCAAAGACCACTTGCGGACTGCTTTAAATGAAAAACATTTCTAACAAAAATGGGAACCGAGCCCAGCAGCAATTTCCTGGACTTCCAGGCTTACGTGCAAAATACACTTAAAAAAATAAATGTTCGCCTAAAACCTTGACAGGGATACAAATACGACCCCTAGGAAGCACTGGTGTCCGTGAATAAATTACCACTTGGGCGTCACTCAAGGAAATTGGACCGGGGGAGGGGCGGGACATGAGAAAGAGGGCGTGCCCTCGAGACTCTGGTTCCCTGGAATTGCTCAGGTTGCGTCTATTTTGGGAATTTTAGCATAGGAATCTGATGTTAGGGGTTAAGGGGTATCGGTGAAGGGATTTGGGGGTGTCCATTAGTGTGAAGAGTTGAGGGTTAGGATTTGGAGCATCCCAAATGAGCTTAAGAGCTAGATCAAGTCTGGGTTGTTGGAGAGACAGTGATGGGAGGGATCTTGTGTGCAGAGACTAAGTCCTGGGAGGGTGTGGGATGCAGGTCTCATGTCCTAGGAATCTGGGGGTTGGGAGATCTTGTGTGCTACGGCCAAATCCCCCCAGAAATTCTGGGGTGCAAGGTCTGAGTCCATGCAGCAAAAGGCGAGCAGACCCCTGGGGGGAGGGGGGAAGAGGAAGGTGACATTCACCCGAGAGACCCTCCAAGAGGCTGAGGGAGAGGCTGTCTATAGCCCACCCTGAGCCTTCCGCTCCTCGCACCTCAGCTCAGCTCCTTGGACTTGGAGGGACTGTCTTCCCGCCCCCATAGTTCCAGGTTTTTGTTGGTTGGTTTCAATCCACACCTGCTGGCTTGTTCTAACCTGGGGTGGAGGGTGGAAAGCCTTAGCCCCCTTCCCAGAGTGCCCCTACCCTCCAGTGCGTGGCATGCAGCCCCTGGCGGCTTATTGCTGTGGTGGAGGGAAGGGTCCCCGCTGAGGGAGGGAGGCATGCAGTGTGTTTCCGTGGGAGATGCCCCAAGATGTATCTGGCATCATTTGGACATATTTACACGAGTTGATGGGAGGGAGGGAGGGTGTCCTATGGCTCATGGAGACCTGAGAAGGTTTTATTTGGGGGGGTGGGGGAATAGTTGGGGGGACGGGCTCTGGCCCCTCCCCCTCCATCCTGGGGGTCCAGGTGGGAGGTGAGGGGCCCGGGGGCGTCTGCTGGCATCTTCGTCTCGTTTGCATATTATTAATGACTTTTGATTTTTTTTTTAAAAAAAAAACCCTTTTCCCCCACCCCCCACCCCCAGCTCCTTTGACCTTCTTCCTGGTCACCCCCGAGTCCCCCCACAGGGGGGAGGGGAGCGCTAGAGGATGGAGGGCAGGGTTGGGGGGGCGCGGCGGGTGGCCCGGGGAGAGCCAGGGGGCGTGG